ATGTCTTCCTGTTGCTCCAGACACAGACTGAGGAGCTGGTGACCAACCCTCACATACCCTTGACAGATGCTCAACCTCTGACAGTTGTGATCTTCCTGTGGTTTGCTAGGAGGGGATTTGATGACTGAGTTGGGAGTGCAAGTTAGTGTTGTGAGGGGTGATGGGAAGGCTAATGCTGTTGTGCTGATAAAGCTTTTGCTAAAGTGAATCCAGAAGTGTTGGCAGTCCCAGGGCAATATGGAAAACTGGATGTGGAGCATCTCCAGATTACTCTGAAGCAACCAGGACAAGTGGTGTCTAAAAAGTAATGCCCTCTTTCAAGGGAATGAAGGAAGGGATTACAGCCTGTTATTGAGTCCCTGTTAAAGGGGGGGCCTTTGGAGCCTTGTATGTCTCCCTATAACACTCCTATCGTGCTGAAAGGGATGAGGGACTTGTCTCTGTAAACAAACTGTGAGTCTGCTGGTGGATAAAATTAGCACTGAGAGGTAAAAGAAAAAATTGGAAGGATTCTACTGGTTGATGAATGCAATGAGAAAGGTTTGTCTTTACGAACAGACTGTAGGTCTGCTGATAAATAAAATTGGATACTGAGAGAAGAAAGAAACAATGGGAAAAAACATAAATTCCATAAGGAATTCCATTGAGTGACACAAGGAAAAGAGAGGAGTTATACATTAGAAAGGGGTCTTAGGTATTAGGCATTTTGGGAAATCAGTACCTCTCAAATACCTCGGCCAGTGGGGAAAGAGAGAGGGACATGAGGCTGAGAAATTAGGATAAAAAGGAGGCTGCATCCTCCAAAAATTAGAGAGACCCCAGGGGAAATGCCCCATGGCCTCTCCCTTTATTTGAATAAAGTTACAGGACTCCTCTGTCTCCTTTTTGGACATAAGCCTCTGGTGTTTGTGAATTAATTTTCCTGACACTGCTGGTTAATCAATCAGATGGAAGCTATAGAGTGGTGCAGGACCTAAGAACAATAAATGGAACTATTGAACCCAGGCACTCCACAGTCCCAGATCCTTATACCATCTTGAACCAGGTTTCCTTCCTGCTGCTATTCAGTACTTGATTTAAAAGATGATTTCTGGAGAAGCCCACTTACAGGGCATAGTAAACACTATTTTGCCTTTGTGCTGGAACAAGAGGGAGAAGGGAAAATCGTAAAGACATGGATGGTCCTTTTGCAGAGATACACTGAAGCACTGGTTATATTTATATGGGAAAGATATTAAAAGTATTTACTCCATAGCTAGGAATTAGTTTATTGCAGTATGTGAAGGACTTGTTCCTGTGGGGAGAACTGGAGGAGGTGGTAGGGGAAGCTACCATGAAATTGCTTAACTTTCTGTCTGGAGGAGGGGGGCTTGCAGTGTCTGAAGTGAGGGTAGAGGTGATGGAGAGAAAGGTTGAATGTTTGGGGCATATTCTGGCTGGAGGCTTTCAGTGTGTTGGCCCAGAGGGGGTCCAGGGAATCTTGGAGGTGCCATTGGCCAGGACTGAAAGGGAGCTGTGACAATTTTTAAGATTAATGGGGTATTTCAGGACCTGGGTTAAGGACTTTTTATTCTGCGACTTTTTAAACTCAGATAGCCCTAGTGTTGTGGTATGGACACCAGAAAGAGCAAAATTTTAGCCAGACTCTGAAAAGGAATTTGAAATGTATGTGCATATTAAATAGGGCTCTACCAGAGGAATTCTAGTACTAAAGCATTTGACCCATTGGAGAGGGGGTGGCCCCACTATTTGCTCTAAGGGTAACTGAGGCTTTGTTGTCTGCAGAATTGTGCAGCCACAGCTTTGATGGTAACTGATGGCAGGATTGTTAAAGTCTGGTATCAAGTTCTAAACAGATGACCAGCACTAGATTGTTACAGTATGAAACCTGTCTAACAAAACAGGAGGATTTAGAATTGTGGAGTGGATAAGAGTTTAACCCAGCCTCCTGTTTAACTGGTTCCAAGGAAGGAAGCCTAAAGGAAACTCATAACTTTATCCAGGTAACAGACCTCCAGATCAAAGTTAGGGAAGATTTACAGGATAGCCCTTGGCCAAATGGGGTAAGGTGTTTATTGATGGATCTTTAAGAGTAATAGGAGGATAACGAGTTTCTGGATATGGTATAGTAAGAGGAAGGGAACTGCAAGAAGAGGGGAAGGTACCATGCACATGATCAGCAGAGACCACAGAATGGTATGCCTTAATAAAAGCCTGCAAAATGTATCAAGGAAAGGTAGTGAATATTTACAGATTCAAAATATGCATGTGGGGAGGTACCTGAGTTTGGAAAACTGGGAGGAGAGAGGTTTGTTAACTTGCAGGGAAAAAAAGTCCACTCATGAGAGCTCAATTATTTGCCTATTGGAGGCAGTGAATTTACTAAAAGTGGTAGAAATAATACATGTTAGGAGACATCAGACAGGATACTCAGAAGAGACAATAGGTAACCAACTGGCCAATGGAGAGGTTCAGAAGGCAGCACTTCTGCAAGGTCTCCGGGATCCTCCCTTTGCTCCCTGTGGCTCAGCCATTGCCAGGGGGAGGGGGAAGTGGTAGTGGTGCTGCTGTCTTTCCCACCAGAGGAGCTGGAGATAATTAAAGGTGGTGGGACAAAAGAAAGAGGGAAATTTGATTTACAGAGGACAGTAAACGGTGGATGCCAGGAGTTTTGACCCTTCAAATGTTGAAACAACTCCATGAGGGGAGTCATTGGGGCTCTCTAGGATTGGCAGAGAACTTCCTCAAGATGTTTTGCTTTGGGTCTTCTTTGCTTTATCAAAAAGAGCTATTGAGGGGTGCCTGGCTAAAGTTAATAGCCAGACTACAAAGGAGATTGCAAAGCAGGAGAATGGCCCTGGGCTATAAGTCCTTCTAGAGTGTCTATTTGAGATGTCCTGGGCAAGATGGCTTAAATATCCTCTGGTAGTGCTATGCCGGCTAGAAGGGTGGCCAGAGGCATTTCTAGCCACTTCAGCAACTTATTTGATCAGTTAACAAATGATTTCTGAATATGCCTTTCTGTGAAGGCAGTGGACTCGGACAGGGGAACTCATTTTACAGAGAAATCCTTCAAAGAATTGAGGTTGCTTTGAGAATTCAATGGGACCTCCATACCCCCTGGTACCCTCAGAATTCAGGTCAAATAGAAAGGATGAACGTGTCACTGAAACTTCAGCAAAAACAAAAAACTCTCCAACAACCATTTTTAGTGTTAGAGAATCAAGGCATTACTTTATTCTGGCCAGAATGTGCAACAGAAATAATTTCACCCACACATTGCCTAGATGTGCAGAGCAAATCATTTTTACTAGATTTTCCCCATATTTTATATAGCCAAACCTCACAGAAATTCATTGGTTCAATGTGCATTGGTCCCAAGTTATGCAGTTTTTAGTATTTGGTTTCCTGTTAAGGATTTTTTTGCCTCCAAGGCTAATTTGGTCCTCATTTTCTTGGTTCTCTTATCAATCTTTTCTGCACCAGGTGTCTCTGACCATGCCAGAGGGCAGTGTCTGGGATTGATGGTTGATGTTGTTAATGCTCGTTGAAGGTTGCCTATCTGCTGGAATCTGTGTCTGCTGACTATTCCCAATCTATGTAGGTGTTGAACTCATCAGCTTTCACCGGGTGAAACAGAGTCATTTGAAAAGAAACTTAATTCCCTTTTCCCTGGGCAAAGGCGAACTAACCTCACTAAAGTTACATTTTAAAAATGTTAAACTTCGCATAATTTCCAACACTCTGCCTCCTTTAAGTACACTGGCTTTTAATAGAGCCATTTTCAGTACCAAGAGGAGATACTAATCCATGGGTTATCCAGAAACCCATTGGGGTTAGCCCTTCCAGAATGATCAGCCTGGGCTTTGCCACTGCTGAACGTGTGAACCAGGAGGACACCAGACACGGGGAGGGTGACAGCTGACGACAGCACCTTGCAGGTGGCTGTCTTGTGTCCAGTGCCTGTGGGTCCTGGGTGTCCTGTGTTTGCATCCATGTGTGTGTCTCTGGCACCTGTGTGACTCTTGAAGCCCAAAACTGGGCAAGAAAATAATACTTTATAGTAAGATGGCTACAGAGCAGGTATTTGTTTATTCAGCACCGGGAGTGAAGCAGATTTCTCCGACAAAAACTTATTAAATCTTCTTTAGCCTTCAGTTACATTTTAAAAGTCCTTCCGTGCAACGTCACAATTACAACACATCATTTAGCATACTCATATTTGCATAAAGCTGTGTAATGGTTTTACAACATTTTGGTGCTTTCGTGCATGCATCAGTTCCTTCTGTGGTGGTCGTCAGTCCTCTGGTGGTCTTTTGATAAAGACTTCTGTAGTCTTCATCACATTTGAACTTTATAACTCTATCTCCAGCGCATGCCATGGTACTTCTTGTTTTTCAGTCTAATTTGTTTTTAGCTAATTTTGCAGTTTGCAAGTTCCGTTAAAACTTGTTACCTTGATCTTGGTGGCATTTGTTATCTCACTTGTCCCGCTACCTTGTTTTTCTTTGCTATCTTGCTTGTTTTACCTGCACATCTTGTTCCACTATTACTTATGGCTAACTTTTTGTTACGTACCACTTAGGATTCACTCTGGGACCTGTGCTCAGCTTCGCTTGAATCCACAACGGGGGAGGCAGCAGTCACATCCTGGGCCTGGGCAGGACCCGGCTCCGGGTCTTCAGCAGCCGGCAAGGAGGCCCGCTGGGTGTGCTGGGCCGCCCTCCGTACGCCGGGCTTGGAGCAACCTGCAGCCTAGCGGCCACCGCAGCCACCACAGCTCCGGAACTGCCGCCCCGGGGACGAGCGCGGAGGGGCGGGACGAGGGGCGGGAGCTCCGCCTGTCATTGGTGGGATGGGCCCGCCTGGGAGGCGGGGCCGCGTCTCTGAGTGGTGCTCTCGCCGCGAGGCGCAGCGAGGGGTTTGCTCTCGCGAGAACCGGGAGCAGCGCGGGAAATTCTTCCCGCGGCACCGCAGAGGTGTGGCCTGGGCCGGCTGGGATGGGGCTGCGGGACGGCGCCGAGCCCGAGGCAGCGCGGTGGGGGCGGCGGCCAGGCGGGCACCGGGAGCCGGCGGACGGCACCGCGTCCGGCCGTGACGATGTCCCCGCGCTGTCTGCACTCAAGCGCTTGGAGCGAGCACAGCGCACGGATCGGCTGGACGCGCTGTTCGGCTTCGAGCGGCCCGCGGAGCCCGGTGAGCGGACGGGCTGGCTCATCAACATGCACCCGGTACGGGCCGGCGCGGCAGGAGGCGAGCAGGCAACAGAAGGGGCACGGGGCGTCCCGTGGGGAGACCCTGGATAGGCCCTAGGGAGGAGTCTCCCACAAAGACACCCCAGCCGTACCAGGAATGGCCGTCCGCGGAGTTATGGCCGGTAGGGGGCAGGGGTCCTATGGGAAGACCCCCCCATACAGTGCGGGGTGTGGGTGGAGTGTCCTACCGAGATACCCCTGACAGGACGTGGGGGAGTAAGTCCCCTGGGTAGACCCATGGTAGGGCCGAGAGAGGCCGTTCCCACTGACAGACCCCGGCCCTACTCGGGAGAGGAGGTCCAATCTCCTTACTGGGCCTCTCATGTTTCCCTGGCTCTACCGGAAGGGAAGAGACTTCCGGTAAGCTCCGGGGGGAAAGTGTCCTGTGGTGGGGTCCCGGGGTAGTCTCATGGTGCCCATGAGTTCTGATGCCCATGGACAGACGGAGGTGCTGGATGAGGACCGGCGGTCAGTGAGTGCAGTGGACTACTACTTCATCCAGGAAGATGGGAGCCGCTTCAAGGTGGGTACCAGGGCAAGTGGGTATGCTGTCCCAAGAGGGAACTTGTCACCATCGTATGTCTGCTCCTTCCTAGGTGGCCCTACCCTACCAGCCCTACTTCTACATTGCCACCCAGAAGGTGAGCAGGGGCAGGGCTGAGCTCCCCAGGGAAGGAGACAGCATCTTGGGGAGCTCAAGACTTTCTGGGCAGTCTGCTTTGGGATGATCTCCCAAGGACAGAGACATACTGCTCAGCCCCAGGGTCTCTTGACAGGGCTGCGAGCGGGAAGTGTCCTCCTTCCTCTCCAAGAAGTTCCAAGGGAAGATTGCAAAGCTGGAAACTGTCCCCAAAGAGGACTTGGACCTGGTCTGTATCTCTCTGTGGCATTTTTTTGGACCTTGCACAGCTCTACTAGGAAGGGATGAGTAGAGAGAGAAAGTGGCATGCTTGACTTAAATCTCCTGGTGCTGTGGCATCTCACAAATGTATTTACTATGTACATACATGCTGTGTATGGCTAATTGCTCATCAGCAGTAACTACATTCCTCTCCTTGAAAATATCAACTGTTTCAGACAATGTGTTCAGGACATTAATTTCTGAAATTAAAGTGTTTGGATGAAGAATGATACTGCAGAAGGGGGATGCTACTCATGCTCGACCCATTCTTCCTCTTTTTCCCTGGGTAAATCCCACTTGTGGGTGCCTGCACAAGCAGCAGGGCTGGCTGGGCTCTTGCTGTGCTGCCCCACAGCAGCCCCAGAATCTCTCCTCGGTGCTTTACTGTCCCACCCATCAGCACCTCTTTTTTGGCCAATCCTTCCATCCGTATCAGTCTTGCTGGCCTTCCACCCCTCTCTCTTGGTGCCCATCCTTAGCTGCTGTTCTCCTGCTGCTTTGCAGCCAAACCACTTGGTGGGCCTGAAGAGGAACTACATCAAGCTGTCCTTCAACACGGTGGAGGACTTGGTGAAGGTACGCAAGGATATCTCTCCTGCTGTGAGGAAAAACAGGGAGCAAGACCAGGCGAGTGATGTCTACACGACCATGCTGTCAAGGTGGGAGCTCCCCATGGGGGATTCAGTCAGTTTCTTATGTTGATAATTCATAGAACCATGGAGGAGTTTGGCTTGGAAGGGACCTCTAAAGGCTGTCTAGTCCAACCCACCTGCGATGAGCAGGGACACCTTCCACTATCCCAGGTTGCTCCAATCCCTGTCCAACCTGGCCTTGGACACTTCCAAAGATGGGGCAGCCACAGCTTTTCTGGGCAATGTGTGCCAGTGCCTCACCACCCACTTAATTATTAGACCCTCTTGATTATTTCCCAACTGTCCTCAGAGTTGTTGAATTGCCTGTGTCTGAACCCTGCTATGCCTCTCTACCACCCATCTTCAGTGTGGTTCTTCCAGCTCTGTGCTGCACATCAAGAGGCCCCAGAGTGGATGGGATGGCATGGCATGGGATGGGATGGGGTGGTATGTCTGGTTGCCTGTCAAAGTTTGCCTGTTCCCTGTGAAAGGATCCAGAGAAGCAATGAGCAACCTTACCTTACTTCTAGTTGTGATCAAGACAGAAAAAATCCAACATTTTCCATTTCTCTCCTGTCCCTGACTCCTCCTGCTAGTGTCACCAGTGGCAGTAGGCATCCCTGGAAGACAAACACTGGGGGAGGGAGTATGCTAGACCTGTTGTTTACAAGCAGAGATGGGCTGGTGGGAGATGTGGTAGTTGAAGGCTGTTTGGGACATAGTGATCATGAAATTATAGAGTTCCCAATATTTGGTGAAATAAGGAGGAGCATCAATAAAACTTTCACAATGGACTTCCAGAGGGCAGACTTTGGCCTATTTAGGAGCGCTGCTTGAGAAGCAGCCCTTAAAAACAAAGCCGTCCAGGAAAGGTGGGCATGCTTCAAAACAGAGATCTTGAGGACACAGGAACAGACTGTTCCTATGGGCTGAAAGACGAGGCAAACATCCAGCCTGGATGGGCAAGGAGGTTTTGAAGGAATTTAGGAATAAAAAGAGGATGTATCGTCTTTGGGAGGAGGGTCAGGTATTCAAGAAATATTTTAGGGGGTTGCTAAGGCATGTAGGAAAAAAATTAGAGATGCCAAAGCTCAGTTAAACTTTATTTGGCAATTTTTGTGAAGTATAATAAATGTTTTCACAAATATATTAACAGCAAAAGGAAGGGAAAGACCAACCTGTGTTCTAGATGTACTAGATGTGGAAGGGAGCTTAGTAACTGTAGATGAGGAGAAGGTGGATGTGCTTAACTCCTTCTTTGCCTCAGTCTTTAGTGGGAAGATGGCTTGTCCTCTGGACAGCTGTCCTCTTGGGTTGGTAGATGGTGTCAGGGAACAGAATGGACCCCTTGTTATCTAGGAGAAGGCAGTCAGAGAACTGCTGAGCCATAAATCTATGGGACCGGATGGGATCCATCACAGAGTGATGAAGGAGCTGGCAGATGAGCTTGTGAAGCTGCTGTCCATGATTTACCAGCAGTCCTGGCTCACTGGTGAGGTTCCAGATGACTGGAAGCTGGCCAATATGATGCCCATTCACAAAAAGGGGTAGGAAAGAGGATCCTGGTAATTATAGGCCAGTTAGCCTGATCTCAGTACCCAGTAAGGTTTTGAAACAGTTTATACTAAGTGCCATCATGCAGAATTTACAGGATGACCAGGGTATCAGACCCAGCCAGCATGGGTTTAGGAGGGGTAGGTCATGTTTGACCAAACTGATCTCCTTTTATGACCAGGTCACCGTCCTGGTGGATGCAAGAAAGGCTGTGGATGTGTCTATTTAGACTTCAGCAAGGCCTTTGACTCTGTCTCCCACAGCAAACTCCTGGAAAAGCTGCAGCCCATGGCTTGGACAGGAGCACTCTGTGCTGGTTTAGGAACTGGTTGGATGGCTGGGCCCAGAGAGTGGTGGTGAACGGTGCTGCATCCAGTTGGTGGCCACTAGGAGGGACACTAATGATGTCCCTCAGGGATCTGTGCTGGAGTCTGTTCTATTTAATATTTTTATTGATGACATGGCTGAGGGTATTGTGTCTATCCTTAGTAAATTTGCAGACAACACTAAGCTGGGCACATGTCGATCTGCTGGAAGGTAGGAGGGCTCTGCAGGGAGACCTGGAACGGTTGGTTGGATGGGCAGAGTCCAATAGGATGAAGTTTAATAAGTCCAAGTGCGGAGTCCTGCATTTTGGCCACAATAACCCCCTGCAGTGTTATAGACTGGGGCCAGTGTGGCTGGACCAGGCAGAAAAGGGTCCTGGGGGTACGGGTCAACAACCAGCTGAACGTGAGCCAGCAGTGTGCCTTGGTGGCCAAGAAAGCCAACAGCATCCTGGCCTGGATCAGGAGTAGCATGGCCAGCAGGATCAGAGAGGTCATTCTTCCCCTGTACTCAGCACTGGTGAGGCCACACCTCGAGTGCTGTGTCCAGGTCTGGGGCCCTCAGTTTAGGGAGGACGTTGAGACACTTGAGCGTGTCCAGGGGAGAGCAACGAGGCTGGGGAGGGGCTTGGAACACAAACCCTGTGAGGAACGGCTGAGGGAGCTGGGGTTGTTTAGCCTGGAGGAAAGGAGACTCAGGGTGACTTTATCAATCTCTACAACTACCTGAAAGGTGGTTGTAGTTGGTGGGGGTTGGTCTCTTTCACCAGGCAGCAATGGCAGAACAAGAGGACACAGTCTTAAGTGTGCCAAGGGAAATTTAGGTCGGATGTTAAGAAAAAATTTTTTACTGAAAGAGTGAGAAAGTACTGGAATTGTCTGCCTGGGGAGGTGGTGGAGTCACCATCCCTAGATGTGTTTAAAAAAAGATTGGATGTGGCACTCAGTGCCATGGTTTAGTTGAGGGGTTAGGGCATGGGTTGGAATCATCATTGATTTTAAAGGTCTCTTCCAGCCTAGTGATTCTGTGTGACACATGGGTAAGGCACCTGCTTCCCTTTGTTCTTGCAGTGCTCTGAGTGGGGGCAGTCTAAGCACAGATGAGGAAGGAGCCTCCAGAAAAATTGCCAACCAGATGGACAACATTGTGGATATGCGGGAGTATGATGTGCCCTACCATGTTCGCCTTTCCATCGACCTGAAGATCCATGTGGTGAGCTTTGCTTTCCCAGTCACACTCCTGAAACGTGGAAAACTTTTTTCTCTCCAACACCTTTACAAAGGTATTGGTGATAATGAGTTCATGTCTAGAGCTCAGTTCTGTTCTGCTGGGCGTTTCCTTAGTTAATGGCATACAGAAAAGCTACCTGGTTAATGCATGGCCATAATTTGAGCCTTTCGTCTGAGCTGCCTGTTTGCCACAGTTCCATCTGCAGCAGCTGGACAGAGTGACATGGGGATGTTGCCCTGCCATAAGGCACTGCCCGCCCTTCTCTCTCCACAGGCTCACTGGTATAACGTGCGATACCGGGGCAGCACCTACCCCCCCGAAATCACCCGCCGAGATGACCTTGTGGAGCGGCCGGTGAGCACTGGGCAGGTGTCCCTCTTGATGTGGGTCCGCCCCAATGGACTCGTGTCTGATGTGCTGACAGTGTAAAACCATGCTGGCAGGGGGAACACTGGGCTTGGGTAGTGATTTCTGGGTTGCTAAAGTACTAAAATGATTAACGGGGATATTCTGGTTCATTTACTGGACTAACTCTGGGTTTTATGGGGAGCCACACTTTCGGTCAGCTCTGGAATCTTTTCTAATGTGTTTGGTCCTGCTCAGGATCCTGTTGTTCTTGCATTTGATATTGAAACAACCAAACTCCCTTTGAAGTTTCCTGATGCAGACACAGACCAGATCATGATGATCTCCTACATGATTGATGGGCAGGTAAGGATACCAGGGTGGTTTCCTTTGGGCTTGGGCAGCAAAGCCAGGAGGCAGCCCAGCATTCCCCTCCAATCCTGCTGTCTCCAGGCTTGCTATGCTGCGAGCTGCATGATGTGTAGCTGTGGGAATAGCATTAAAGTCTGAGTGATGTACTGGATGCTGAGTTTTGTGGAACTCAGCCCAGGTTGCTCATGCTTCTCTTCAGCAGAGGGACAACACTGGTGTCCCATATTGTCTGTCCATGGCCTCATTTTCCAATGGTCAATGATGGATCATCATCATCAATGGATGACTCCCAAAACGTTGTTACCCCATGACAGAAGCTCTGGCTTTCAAGAGGAAAGCATCCCATTGTTTGGGCAGCATTTTTGAGTTGTCTGCAACCCCAATCTTCCTCACTGCTTCCTTGTCACCTCCTCAGGGCTACCTGATCACAAACAGGGAGATTGTCTCAGAGAACATTGAAGACTTTGAGTTTACTCCCAAGCCAGAGTATGAGGGTCCATTTTGTGTCTTTAACGAACCAGATGAGGTAAGTCAGTTCTGCTCTGCAGAGTTATACCCACCTGGAGCTTTCCTTGGCCAGAGAGCCCATTCCCTGGCAGATTGCCTCCCTGGGAAACACAGTAAGTCCAGCAGGACTGCTTGTGCTTTTGTTTCTTGGGAATAAGGGTAAGAGAGACCAGGTTTGTGCTAGGTGCAGAGGAAAGAGGAAGGGTGGAACAAACTGTGTGGTATCTACCACCTCTCTATGGAGTTGAAGTTCCCTTAAAATACATGTCTTTTCTGTTTCATCCCAGGCTCATTTAATCCAGAAATGGTTTGAACACATCCAGGAGACCAAACCCACCATCATTGTCACATACAACGGAGACTTCTTTGACTGGTAAGATCAGGGATGATGACTAAACTGGAAATGTGTCATCTGAACTAGAGGGCAAAGTCAGGTTCTATCCTCGACATCCTTCCATAGCTCAGACAGTGTGGGGAAGGCCATGTGGCCACATGCGGAGCAGCCGTGTCCTGCACCTCACCAAAAAATCCTCTGGTCAGTGGACTTGGCAATAGGACTTTCTGAAGAGTCCCATCCACTTGCCTGAGCTGCTTTTAAACCCTTGGCAATGTGGGAATGGCAGTGTTTGGATGAGCTCAGTCATGGGAGAGCAGGGAGGGGGTCACAGGAGACCTGGAGGGTATTGGAAGAGGTGTGCAGAAGACCCTGGGGAAGCAGGGGGAGAGGACCCACACACCTCTGCCTCCAGATACAGGATACAAGCAAGCAGGTTTGCCTCTTGAACCACAAAATTGTTTGGGTTGGAAGAGACCTTAAAAATCATCTTGTTCCAACCTGCTACCATGACCAGAGACACCTTCCACTAGACCGGGTTGTTTCAAGTCCCAGCTGGCCTTGAATACTTCCAGGTATGATGTGTCTACTTGTCCTGCAGGAAGTTTTCCCTGTGATCAGCTACACAGATAAATCACAAGAAAAATTCTTCAGGCAGTTTGTAACAAGGTGGTCATAGAACCATTGTTGGAGATGTAGGAAAATGGCTGTTCTGCTCCTTCTCTTCATGCTGTCTCTTTCTCCAGGCCTTTTGTGGAAGCAAGAGCAGCAGCTCATGGAATTAATATGTATCAGGAAATTGGGTTTCAGAAGGATAGCCAGGGGGAGTACAAAGCATCCCAGTGCATCCACATGGACTGTCTGAGGTACCGAATGCTGCCCCTCTACCACATAGCTGTATCTTTGTCTCTTCCATTCAGATAAAATGCCTACAGTTGTATTTGAATACTGTTCTCACGTTCTGTCTTTTGGAAGCTTTGTGTGTCACCTTCTTCAGCTGTGTGATAATCCATTCCTGCGTTGTCTTCTTCCCCTTGGTGTGCTGCATCCCACAGGAACTGCCAAGTCTTCCCCTGAAGGGCTCCCAGGCTGCTTTTACCCTGCAGCCTTGGGTGTTTGATTGCTGATTTGGGAGGATAGAGAAAGGGAGAGGGAGTGGGTTAAGATCTGGCCATTGGAGCAGGGAAAGGGACTGTAGTCTCACCTACCAGCCTCCTGATATACAGGGAAGAGGAAAGGACACATGGGAGAGACAGAACTTTGGGGTTTTATGTGGATTTCCCCCCTGGAGCAGACTGGGCTCTGGAGCACAGCTGGATGTCCTTACAGTTCTTGCAGGTGGGGTCCTCTTCAGTGGTGAAATATTTATCTTAAAGCCACTGAGGGAGCTGGAAGGTGGAAATTATGAGCAGTAGTGGTGGAGTGGACAGTGGCAGTTGTTCTGGTTGGGCTAGCCAAAGTTGGACAGCCTTGTACCCCACTGTTCTTGGATGCTGGGCTGTCCTTGGTGAGAGATCCCCATGGTAGTTGAGGTCCCCTTCACAATCTTGGCCATGTTTTGAAGGTCAGGCCTGGTTTCTCTGCACAAACTGATATTTTCCTGATTCTGTCCAGGTGGGTGAAGAGAGATAGTTACCTCCCAGTGGGAAGTCACAACCTGAAAGCAGCAGCTAAAGCAAAACTGGGTTACGATCCAGTGGAGCTGGACCCTGAGGAGATGTGCCGGATGGCCACGGAGGAGCCTCAGGTATTCCCTCCCTGTGCTCTATGGGGAAACAAGCCTAGAGCAGCTGCACTAAGACTGAGTCTGTAAGTTAGACTGGATTTTGAGGAATTAACTGAATCTGTTTCCCTAGACTTCCAATGCCTTAGAGGAACATGATTCCCCTGAAGTGTTTCTGGCTCTGTCATTGCACTGTGCATTCTCTGTATTTATTTAATCAGTGTGGGGTGAAATCAGAAACACCATGAGGAACTGAGACCTGCTGAGGATGCAGGAGAGGGTTATTGCTCCAGGTGTCACAGGCAGGACGTTCTGCTGAGTCCTGTAGTAGCTTCCTGAGACCCAAACTGGGCGGATTATGTGCTTTCAGCTCATCTTCCTTGTTCCTTCTCAGTTAGAGCTGACATGTTGCTGTTTGATTAGAGCTAAAGCAGGATGGCCTCAGAAGCAAACATATTATTCTTTATATAATTTGTATTCTTTATATATATAATCTATATTTTAGATTTATATATATATATAAAATCTATATTCTTTATATAGGCTGTGGAGAAGTACACCTTTTCCTTCTTCCTGCTGATAGGAGAATGTCTAGCAGGAAACAATGAAAGATCATTGTCATTGAGCCACTCTGTCACATGGGATTAGGATTAATTTGCTTCTTTTGTTCCTTGACAGACCCTGGCCACCTACTCAGTGTCTGATGCCGTTGCTACTTACTACATGTATATGAAGTATGTACATCCCTTCATTTTCGCTTTGTGTACTATCATTCCCATGGAGCCTGATGAGGTGAGAGCTTTCCCAAAATTGCGATCTCTTTGCTGGGTGAAGTGCCATGGTTCCCACACTGCAGGGATGCTCTGGCCACAGATCTGATTCCCACTGCCTAGACACTCTGCATATGTGGCAGGGAGGAAGAGGGGGTGATTTAGAGGCTATTCCTTTCTCCTGTAGTGGGGTATTTGGAGACAGATTTCTAGAAGAAGACACCTGAGATTTGGCAGTACAGGACTGGAGGACGAAAGTATGGCTAATGCTCCATGCTCAGCCAAGTTCACTTGCAGTTGTGGCCGTGCAAAGTTGGGTCTCCTGATGGCTGTTGTCAGCTGTAGGGAGGATGATAAGGAAGTTGTCAATGCTAAGCATGTAGAAGATGTCATTCTGTTCCCACCTGGTTGAGCTGACAAAGGCACTTGATGGAGTGGTGTTGCAGATGTGTCACCAGCTGAAGCTGTCCTGCTTGTTGTGTGACAGTCCAGTCTTACCAGTGCTGGGACAGCACTTCTACAGAATCACAGACTGGTTTGGGTTGGAAGGAATCTTAAAGATAATCTCATCCACCTTCCTGTCAGGGGCAGGGACACCGTCCACTAGACCAGATTGCTCCAAGCTCTGTCCAACCTGGCCTGGAACACTTCCAGCAATGGGGCAGCCACAGCTTCTCTGGGAAACCTGTGCCAGTCCAGTGCCTCACCACCCTCACAGGAAAGAATTTCCTCCTGATATTTAAATCTGCTATTTTTGAATTTGAAACTAGATTTGGTTTCTCATGTGCAGGTGTTAAGAAAAGGATCTGGGACACTGTGCGAGGCACTGCTGATGGTTCAGGCCTACCATGCCAACATCATCTTCCCCAACAAGCAGGAGCAGGAATTCAACAAACTTACTGAAGATGGACATGTGCTGGACTCAGAGACCTATGTGGGAGGCCACGTGGAAGCACTGGAATCTGGGGTCTTCCGCAGTGACATTCCCTGCCGCTTCAAAATGGTAATGGGCCAGCAGCCAGCCCCCTGTACTTATGGATCAGTGCAGTGAGGAAGGATAGCATTTCTACTGTTGTTGGCATCTCCAATGTATCTCTGCTGAGCTTCTAGGGCAACACCTAGAATCACAGAAATCAGTAAGGTTGGAAAAGCCCTTTAATGCTGCTAAGTTCAGCTGTTAATCCAGCATTGCCAAGGCCACTACTGTCCCCAAGTGCCACATCTGCATGTCTTCTGAACACTTCCAGGGATGGTGGTTTCACCACTGACCTCAACATCCTGTTCCAATGCTTGGCAGCCTCCAGGAGACTCTTGCTACCTGAAGCTAGGCTGGGATGGGATTGGAGGAGATTTCTAAGTGGTTATCTGTGCTTCAGTGGGAGGACAAGCAATCCAGAGTTGTTGACAGCAGGGGATGGTGATGAAGTAGGGTTTTGGGTTTGTTTTTCAGCCAGTGGTTCTTGGAAGTTATGCGTCTTGTCGCTTGGGATTCTGTCCTCTCTCTTAAACAGAACTTCTGCTGAACCCTTCCTGAGGGTTTTTTACCTGTTTCTGCTACTTCCATCACCTCCCCCAGTGCCTCAACATGTCCCTTACGGCTTAGAGGTCCTCAAGCCGATCAGGGACAGGGGTGCAGGGCAGAAGCTGCCAGCCTGCTGTCAGGAACAGCTGCTTGTGGCCTCACTGCCATCTCCATGTCCCTGTAGAATCCTGCTGCCTTCGACTTCCTGGTGCAGCACGTGGAAAAGACCCTGCAGCACGCCATTGAGGAAGAGGAGGGTCTGCCCTTGGATCAGGTCACCAACTTCCAGGAGGTACAGCACCTGCAGCATGGCTGAGCTGGGCAGGAAACTGGGACTGCAGCTCTAAAATGCTTGTTTGCGTTTGGTTTGTGCTCTACAAAGAGAGACTAAGCAGCCCAGCCTGAGGATCAGGGTCTCTGCCCCATCTGAGGAATGCAGCTCTTGCTTTTCCCTTCACAGGTTCAACCAGGTGCAAAGCTCTGAGAGAGCTGGAAAGGAATTTAGGGAGAAGGCAGACCCTTCAGATATCCCAAGTACTCTTGTTCCTCTTTTTCCCTACTTCTTATCAGCTACAAAAGTGCAGGTTGCCCCTCTCCAAATCGAAGTTTGGAATTTCTTTGAGGGCAGCACCTCTGGTCTTTGCTGTTGTCTCCACTAACCCACTTGCACTGAAAAGGTTCTCAATCAAGTCATATTTAGGAAGCAGCTGCTCCCACTTGCCAGATATCCCTACAGAAAAGCTTACTCTGGAGGTCCAAATCAAAACCAAAAGCACCAGTGGTCAAGGAGTCCCTGATCTGCTCCTTTGGCCCTTTAGATCCATCCCCAGAGCCTAGGGCCAGTGTCCATGTGAAGAAGATCCAAATTCAACAAGTATTTGACCCATTAATTCCTTCCTGCACTAGTTTCACTTCTCTATCTTACCACAGGTTTGTGATGAAATCAAGGCCAAACTGAATTCCCTGAAGGATGTTCCCAACAGAATTGAGTGTCCTCTTATCTATCATCTGGATGTGGGGGCCATGTACCCCAACATCATTCTGACCAACAGGCTGCAGGTGAGTAACATTAATTTTGTCTCTCCTAGTCTGACTTCCAGATGACCTTGATGGTCCCTCTGGATCCCCTTAAAAGCAAGGGCTGAACTTTCTGCACAGGGCATGGGAAGCAGATAAGGCTGGGTGTGAAATTTGGTCAAGCTGGAATTGTGGAATCACGGAATTATTTTGGTTGGAAAAGCCATCTAAGACCATTGAGTCCAATTACTCTGCCAGCATTGCCAAAACCACTACTAACCCATGTCCCCAGATGGCACATCCACATGGCTTTTAAATACTTTCAGGAGAATGCCACTCTGGACAGCCAGTTCCAGTGTCTGATCACCCTTTCAGTGAAGGATTTTTTCCTAATATCCAACGTAAGCCTCTTCTGGCACAACTTGAGGCTGTTTCCTCACTTGTTCCCTAGGAGCAGAGCCTGACCCCCACCTGGCTCCACCTTCCTGTCAGGGAGTTGTAGGAAAAAGAATGTCCTCCCTGAGCCTAATTTTCTCCAGGCTGAAACCCCCAGCTTCCTCAACTGCTCCTCATTAGACTTGTGCTCCAGCTTCTTCCCCAGCTCTGTTCTTCTCTGGATGGCCAGGTCTTCAGACACTCAGCTACAGCTTTAGCTAGAGCTCTTCCCAAAAATCCACCTGTTGTTTTGAGGGGCTTGTGCTCCTGAAAGGCTCTGGAAAAGGGAGCTCACTGAATACCATCTCTGATGTTCACACCTGTGCTCTCCTGCCACTCAGCGCCTGTTCCAGCATGAGTTGTCACTTGGGGACCTGTCCCCTCTAACACCTGTGTGTCTGTTAACTGCATCCAGCCCTCAGCCATGGTCGATGAGGCCACATGTGCTGCCTGTGACTTCAACAAGCCGGGTGCCAACTGTCAGCGCCGGATGACGTGGCAGTGGAGAGGAGAATTCAGTAAGTACAGGAAGGACCATGTGGTCCAACCCATAGAGATGGAGCCAAATTCCTGCTTCTCCCCTGCAAGACTGATCACTGCCTTCCTCTGCAGTGCCTGCCAGCCGCAGCGAGTACCACCGTATCCAGCAGCAGCTGGAGTCGGAAAAGTTCCCTCCCTTGTTCCCTGATGGACCACCTCGTGCCTTCCATGAGCTCTCTCGGGAAGAACAAGCCAAGTATGAGAAAAAACGCCTGGCAGGTAAAAAAGCAAATCAAGGTCATGATCCTGGCAGTGTTTTGCAACCTGGACTATGAGCAGTGTTCAGCAGTAGGGACCCCTCCTAGGGCTGTAGAGTAAGGTCAGACTGGTCTCAGAACTTCTCCAGGATTCCAGCAGACTCGTGTGCTTCCTGAGAGGAGCCAGGCACTGGTACCTCTCTCAGTCTTTCCCTTTGTGTTGGAGAGCCACGGGTTTGAGCTGAAATATGAATGGCTCCATTTTTTGTAAGGTTACTAAATAAATAAAATCAGTTAATAAAAGGGAAACATCACATCCTATCACTTGGAGTGATGCTGTCCAGCAGAACCACACAGCTGGCTGGGGGAAGAGCCTGGGTTTGTAGGTGGGTCATGATTAGTTTGTTTTCCCCCTTGCCCTTGACCTCTGTAAAGAGGTGCTGCATCTTTCTATATTGAGATCTTCCTCTCCCTTTGCAGTAGGACTGTCCCCCACTCACCCGTGCCTTATGCTTAGCTGCCTCCGTTTCCCTACTCTGCTCATCCCTGTGTTGCAGGGCACCCGTCCCTGAGAACCTCCCTTTGTCTTCTCCCTTGACCAGACTACTGCCGCAAGGCATACAAGAAGATCCATGTCACCAAGGTGGAGGAGCGAGTCACCACCATCTGCCAACGAGAAAATTCTTTTTACGTGGACACAGTGCGAGCATTCCGGGACCGCCGATACGAGTTCAAGGGGCTGCACAAGGTACCAAGCTTGGGCGCTGTTCAAATTGTCTTGCCAAGCCTGGGGACTTCTTGCGCCTTGCTGAAAAAAACTCAAAGGATTACTCTGTTGGCTTCCCACTGATAGAGAGCAAGGTTGTGTTAGTTATTGAGAAGAAATTCTTCCCTGTGAGGGAGGTAAGGCACTGGCACAGGTTGACCAGAGAAGCTGTGGCTGCCCCATTCCTCAAAGTGTCCAAGGCCAGTTGGTTGGATGGGATTTAAGGCAACCTGGTCTAGTAAAATGTGTTCCTGCCCAAGGCAGGGGGTGGGATGAGATGAGCTTTAAGATCCCTTCCAACTCAAGCTATTCTACAAGGCACTGGGGCTCTATATCTGGCAGAGTTAATTAAAGAGCCAGTTCCCCCCAGCTGCCTCTTTTGCCATGATTCCCGGGGCTGACAGAGGCTTTTCCTACACTGGTGGTTTTGCTGTTAGCCGGGCATCACGGATTGCAGCAGGCAGTGTATTGAGTTCTTCCCTGCACACATATGGTGCAGTAACAGCTGGTGCTGGTTGAATTCCAATCAATGACGAGAGCTGGGAGTCTCTTCTAGCAAGTGACAAAGTGCCTCTGACAAACCCCTTCTGTGCTTCAAAAGAAAATGGGATGTTTGACTCATGATGCTGATCTTTGGCAAAGATATTCCTGTAGAGCTGCAATGCTATAATGGGACTGAGTGGGAACCAGTTGGGTGCCACCAGTACTGATATGTGGAATTGTCCTGACTCTGCCCTTGGCATGCAGGTGTGGAAAAAGAAGCTGTCTGCAGCAGTGGAGACAGGAGATGCCTCTGAAGTGAAACGCTGCAAGAACATGGAGATCCTCTATGACTCCCTGCAGCTGGCCCACAAGTGCATCCTCAACTCTTTCTACGGATATGTCATGCGGAAAGGGTAACTCCCCCCTGGGCCATCCAGGATTCTCTAGAGAGGACCCTCGGAAACCAGGATTGTCCTAGTGAGGTAGTTGCTTCCTGAAGCACCAAGATGAGAATAAGTCCTGGCTGTAAGACTCTTCTCTTGCTTCTATCCATTATTCCTCATCCTGGAGACTCTTACCAGACATTAAATTATGGGAATCTTGTCTGTTAGTGGGTTTTCAGCTTTTCTGGAGCATCATAAGTAGAGAATTTCATAGGAGAACAATGTTCCAAGGCCTGTGTTGTATTTCTTGCCATTCTTCCCCTGGAGATTTTCATGCCCTTCTATAGCTGGGTTTTAGAGGGAGCATGTCATGCTTTTAATTGTGACTCCTCTGCTCACAGAGCTCGCTGGTACTCCATGGAAATGGCTGGCATTGTCTGCTTCACGGGGGCAAATATCATCACCCAAGCCAGAGAGCTGATTGAGCAGATTGGGTGAGTGTGTGCTGAGCTGAAGAAGATGCATCTGCATCTAGGACAAATGTGGGAGCATGTTAAACACTTAAGTTTTCAGAGGGATAGAACACATTTCCTATGAGGAAGAAGGGCTGGGAAAGCTAGGGGTTTTCATCCTGGAGAAGAGAAGGTTCCAGGGAGACCTTAGAGCCCCTTTAAGTGCTTGAAGAGACTCCAAGAAAGATGGACACTGATTTTGGGCAGCAGCCAGGGGTGTTGGGCAAGGGGGAATGGCTTCCCACTGCAGGAGGACATGGTTAGATGGAATACTGGGAAGAAATTCTTCTTTGCACAAGTGGCCCAGAGAAGCTATGGCTGCTCCTAAATCCCTGGAAGTGTTTCAAGGCCAGGTTGGACAGGGCTTGGAGTAACCTGGTCTAGGGGAAGTTGTCCCTGCCCATGACAAGGAGTTGGTGGAATGAGATGAGCTTTAAGGTCCCTTTGAACCTCGAGTGCTCTGTGATTCTCTGATTCTGTGAGCATTGAGATTGCTGATACTGCTGTTGTATTTGAGGGTTTGCTTTGCAGAAGGGAGCAGAGTGGATGCAAAAGGCTGCTGCTGTCTTCATGGGGGACACGGAGGTGATCCTCACCTCTCATCCACTCTGCTGCTGACAGTGGCCTGCCTTCCTTCCTTCCCTAGGAGACCTCTAGAACTGGATACCGATGGGATTTGGTGTGTCCTTCCCAATAGCTTCCCAGAGAACTTTGTCATCAAGTCAACCAACAGCAAGAAGCCAAAAGTGACTATCTCTTATCCAGGAGCCATGCTGAACATCCTGGTGAAGGTGAGTCTGGCGCCTGTCCAGGCCAGCTCTGCAGCCTGGGAAAAGGAGATGGAGAGCTGATGAATTGAATAGGGAGAGTCCCTCTTCCAGCTCCACTCCCTGTGTACTGGGTGAGATGTCAGGGATGATGCCCCCTGGAGAGCATCTGAGTGGAGAAAGAGGCTCAGTATCCCTCATCAGAGAGGGGTGCCTGTAAAGGGCCAAGTTAGGTGCATGCTTACCTGTGCAGATAGGGAGTCCAGCACAAGGTCCTAAACCTATCCTCTGCTCACTCCAGGCTCTGTAAGACAATAAATTATTTTAGGGTCCAAAGCCTTTTTCTTCTCAACAGACAGGAGAGTTGTTTTGACTTTTGAGTACTAAATTGTGCTGTAGCCCTCAGAGTGGTGCTCAGGTGTCCCTTAGGGCAGGGTGTGTCCCAGGGGCATCCCCTGGTGTGACCAGACAGCTGTGGATTGAAACTGTTCTCCTGGGACTATGCCACAGGAGGGCTTCACAAATGACCAGTACCAGGAACTGCAGGATCCAGCCTCACTCACCTACATCACACGCTCAGAGAACAGCATCTTTTTTGAAGTGGATGGTCCGTACCTGGCCATGATCCTTCCAGCCTCCAAAGAGGAGGGCAAGAAGCTGAAGAAAAGGTGAGATTTCAAAGCTTGAAATACTGTCTTTTTCCCTGAGTTAACAGACTAAGGATCTCATTGCCTTTGTGCATGTGGGGCATGTTTGTCCTTGCCTCCAGAGCCAGTAGCGTTTGCCTCACGGCTTTAAATGGCAAGTTCCTTACATCAGATCATCTTTGAATCCAGCTATTATGACAGTAAATTTTAGCAGATAGCAGCAAAATGACATTTCTCCAGCCTAGTGACCAGACACCTCTCTGTTTGGCTCTGAGGTGTGCAGAAGAACATTGACTTTCCTTTTGAGGATTTCTAATGCTGCTTGTAGTCAATCTAATCTGTTAAAACTCAGCAGTTCCTGCCTTCCTATCTCTCACCGGTTCACAGACTTTCAGTAACGCTTCTCCTATGTGTTTCCCCTTCCCTCTCCATCTGTAAGTAGCACTAGTACTGTCATTAGTGTCACATTATAGGGTAGTTGTACCCGAACTTCACTGATTTCTCAAAGATTGCCTCCTAACCAAGAATGTGAGCTAGAGCAGTAGCATCCATTATTTTGGGTGGCAGCCCACAGGCGTGGGTCTGACTACAAAGCATACTGTTGCTGTCCCCAGCACTCTGTCCTCACAATTCTGGACTTTTTTGTGCTTAATCCATAACAGGACAAGGTTCAGCACACAGTATTCCCTGTCAGTGCCCTTCTCCAGGCATTCAGACCCTTCTGCAGGAGTCAAAGTGTTGCTCAGTTCTGAGTGGGCTGTGCTTGTAGGACTCCCCTCGGGGACTCTGGATTGCTATTGTTAAGGGATCTTAGAAGGGGCATTTATTTCCCAGTCACTCTCCGAGCATAACAGCCTGGAGGTGGCTGCAGACCCCATGGCTGGTGGAGGAAGGAAAGGCTATGCTGATGGGAATGTGGGCAGGTGGGAGAAGGGCTGGCCAAGCAGGTTTGAGTATCCCCTCTCCTCACTGATCGTTCTTACAGTGGTGGTTTGGGGGTTTTGTGTGACATACAGGTAATTTTCAGGGCTTTGAAAGGCAAAGCAATGCAAGAGAAAAGGCAAGAGGGAGGAATGTTCCCTTAGGTGTGTCATGGCTGTATCTAGTTTCCTCTCAACTCCTCTGCCAGCATTGGAGTTGACAGTTTTCTTCTTTCTAAATCTCTTCCTAGTATCTTCATTTCGCCATTCTGGCTCTCATCTCCCACCCTTAGTTACACACAGTTAAGGTCATGCTCCACCAATTAAAGTCACTCCTCACCATCGATGAGTGCTGACCAAGGTTTGGTGTGCTTAGCGCAAAAAAACCCATGGAGCTGCTGGATTGAGTCCAGAGGAGGCCATGGAGATGCTCCAAGGGCTGGAGCTCCTCTGCTCCGGAACCAGGCTGGAAGAGCTGGGGGTGCTCACATGGAGAAGACTTCAGGGAGACCTTAGAGCCCCTCCCTGAAGGGGCTCCAGGAGAGCTGGAGAGGAACTTGAGACAAGGGCTAGAGGGATAGGACAAGGGGAAATGGCTTCCCACTGCCAGAGGGCAGGGTTATATGAGATATTGGAAAGGAATTCCTGGATGTGAGGGTGGGGAGGCCCTGGCACAGGGTGCCCAGAGAAGCTGTGGCTGCCCCACAGCGTTCCAGGCCAGGCTACACAGGGCTTGGAAAAATCTGGTCTAGTGGAAGGTCTCCCTGTCCGTGGCAGGGATGTGGGACTCGATAATCTTTAAAATCCCTTCCCCTGTGGTTTGATGAGTCAGTGTGGATGAGCTGGGGCAAGAGCTGATGTCCTTTTCCAGACCAAGGTAAAATGGTTGCTAGAGAAGCTGTAGATTCTTGAGATTATCCAGGTGCTTCTATGACTCCTTTGAACATGCTGGATGGTGGCACAAAGGCATGGGGAAAAGCACCCTGGCAGGAGGGACACCACAGGCACCGTGGGAGACACTTCCCTTGGTGTAGGCCAGGTTTATTCACACTCTCTCCTAGGTATGCCGTGTTCAACGAGGACGGGTCCCTGGCTGAGCTGAAGGGGTTTGAGGTGAAACGCCGGGGAGAACTGCAGCTGGTGAAGATATTCCAGTCGTCTGTGTTCGAAGCCTTTCTGAAAGGCAGCACCCTGGAGGAGGTCTATGCTTCTGTGGCCAAGGTGGCTGATTATTGGCTGGATGTGCTCTACAGCAAGGTAGGCACAGCTCAGCAAATGTATACTCCAAGGTGGAGCCTGGGAAGGAGCCTCTGAGCTGGTCAGGCACTGTGGGAGGCTGGACTTTGCTTGCCGAGAGGTACAGGTCCCCTGTACCTCTTTCACCCTCAGTCGCTTCACAGATGACACTGAGCTGGGTGGGAGTGTGGATTTACTGGAAGGCAGGAAGCCCTGCAGAAGGATCTGGACAGGCTGGATCCATAGGCTGAGGTCAGGGTCTGAAGTTCAACAAGGTCAAGTGCCAGGTCCTGCACAGGGGCCAGATCAACACCATGGAATGCTCCAGGCTGGGAGCAGATGGCCTGGAAAAGCGCCTGACAGAAAAGGGTCTGGGGGTGCTGATCAAGAGTGACTAAACACATGCCCAGGTAGACAAGAAGGGCAATGGCACCTGGCTTGTACCAGCCATTGCACGGCCAACAGGACCAGGGCAATGACCATCCCCCTGTGCTGGACACTGAGGCACTTTGAACCCTGGGGTCACATTTTGTCCCCTCAGGATTAGAAAGACATTGAAGGACTGGAGCATGTCCAGAGAAGGGAAAAGAGCTGGGGAAGTGGCTGAAGTGCAAGTCTGAGGAGCAGCTGTGGAGGCTTAGCCTGGAGAAAAGGAGGTTCAGAGGGGACATTTTTACTCTACAGCTCTCTGACAGTAGGGTGGAAACAGGTGGGTGTTGGGCACTTCTGCCAGGGAACAAGTGACAGGATTAAAGGAAACAGCCTCAAATTGCAGCAGGAAAAATTAGGTTGAGTAATAGAGAAAATTTCATCTCCAAAAGGATTGTCCACCTCTGGCACAGACAGGCTGTCCACGGCAGTGGTAGAGTCCCTATCCCTGGAGGAATTTAAAAGCCATGTAAAGCTGGTTAAGTGGTGGGTGTGGCAGTTCTGGGGAAATGGGTGGACTCAGTGATCTTACAGGGCTTTTCATGATTCTGTGATTCTGTGAGAATGATTCTGTGATTCTGAGACAAGGGGGTGGGAGGGAACAAGAGTCTAACTGGGTCCTTGTCGTGACCTACTGGTCCGGGGGCATGATGTTCATCATAAATTCTCTTCAGGTTGAACAAACACACTGGTCATGTGTCAGGAACTCTTTATGTTTTAGTGTACAGTCGCTGTAACTCCAGCAACCAGCCCACTGCTTAAACTCGAAAAGTCAACAAGCAAATTCTTACAATAGACTTCTACAAAGAGTGGCAGCAAAAAAGCCCTTCATTTTGTACTGAACACTTCAATAAGTTCTCACCTCCCACCACAAGCTCCTCAAAAGGCACTGACTCACAAGCTGCTATAGACCACCAATATTTAAGGGTACTGGCTAACAAGCTGCAATACACCATCACACAAAGGTGCTGGCACATGAGCCACAGCACCACTCCTCAAAGGTCCTGGCTAACAAGCCACAACACACCTTTACACAAGCTCCCCACTCGCACAACAGGGTTCAATACAAAGTATGAAGTAGAATATGACAGCCCTGCTTTGCTCGGGCAAAACAAGGGAAGAAAACAAAGAATATCACCAGTCCTTAGATCTGTGTTGGTCTTGCTTTGGTCATGCCACATGGGTGGTCCAGAGCTGGATCAAACAATGAGACAAAGCAAGTGGAAGAGAGAATAAAAAGAAAAGAGAGAGGGGGACCTATTTGTTCCCTTTCATGCACAGCCAGCCTTCTCCTGAATGTGTGTTGCTGAGGGGACTAAGCATGAGTATTAAGGTGTGGCAGAGAATTGGCTCAGAACAGCACTGCCAGACCTCCGTGGGACCTTCTCCTCCAATCACACCTTTCCTGTAGCAATACTCAGAATGTTTGAGACAAAACATGTTTAGTCCTGGTCTTCTACAGTCCTTCGTTTTGTGATGCTGTTTTGCAACAAATTTTTGGTAAGCCTAACTTTTCATGCACAACACAAAGAGGTGCTGCTACAGCCCAGTCGTGGCACAAACGTGCAAGTCAGAACCCCACATTCCTTCTTTTCTATAGGTCCCACTGGCAGTTGCACCAGGAAGCAATTCTCAGGCTCCCTGTAAAGAGACACAATCAGCTGTGTGTGGTGCTCCCCGTTCCTGACAGTAGCAAAGTTTTATCATTTGTTCTTGATAAGTTTGGGCTTTTTCCTGTCTTTCAGGCTGCCAACATGCCTGATTCAGAGCTGTTTGAGCTCATCTCAGAGAACCGGTCCATGTCACGCAAACTGGAGGACTATGGGGAGCAGAAGTCCACCTCCATCAGCACTGCCAAGCGCTTGGCAGAATTTTTGGGGGACCAGATGGTGAAGGATGCAGGGTTGAGCTGTCGCTTCATCATTTCCAAGAAACCAGAAGGGTCTCCAGTCACAGAGAGGTAACCTCATCTGGAGGGGCCTGGGCTTCTGGCCTTGTGGGAGAAACCAAGAGGGGATGGGCAGGTAGCAGGCAGGAAGAGAAATAGAATACATGGCCAGGTCATCCCCTGAATCTGGTGCAGGCCATGGGCAGGGCAATGGGTAACACTGTACAGCCTAGTGGCCTGCAGGAGTTTAGGAGAAGCCTGGAGGATCTCCACAGGCTGGGAGAGTAGATGGTTGGGTGCTAGGACATTGATTCCCTGCCTTCCCCAGGGCCATCCCCCTTGCCATCTTCCAAGCCGAGCCCAGTGTGCGTAAACACTACCTCCGAAAATGGCTGAAGAGTCCCTCACTGCAGGACTTCAACATCCGTGCGGTGAGTGAGGCATCCCTTCAGATGACCCCGTGTGGGCGGTTGCTTCCTGTGCTCACAAAGCAGGGAGCTGGGGTGGGGGTGCTACTGGCATATTTGATCCTATGTCTGGGGACCCTTCTGCTTGGATTTCTTCACTGTCCAAGCTTTGCCTTCTTCCCAGATCTTGGACTGGGACTACTACATTGAGAGACTGGGCAGCACCATCCAGAAAATCATCACCATTCCTGCAGCCCTGCAGCAGGTATGTGGCAATGAGGGAGGTGGACAGGAGGAAGGATTTGTGCTGGGGACTCAGTGTGATTTGGAGCTACTCTGCAGGTAAAGAACCCAGTGCCACGGGTCCGACACCCAGACTGGCTTCATAAGAAACTCCTGGAGAAGAATGATGTGTACAAACAGAAAAAAATCAATGAGCTCTTTGTTTCAGAAGGCAAGAAACAGGTAAAGAGGATGAGGGGAAGGTGCTAGCTGTGCCAGTGGGGCTTTTCTCTTGCAGCCCCCATCCTGCTGCTTTCCTTGCTCTCTCAGGTTCCTGCCAGCCGGCCTGTGGATGGGACACCCAGCTCACAGGTGGGTGACATAGAGGACTTCAGGGCTGTCAAGATCCCTCAGCCACTGGTTCCCATTGCAAATAAGCGGAAGCGCATCCCTGCAGCAGAGGAAAGCCAACAGCTGTCCCAGGACCTGGAGCTGTCCCAGTCCTGGCGGGAGATCCTGGGACCACCTCCACTCCTTGGCACCACCAGGGTAGGTGAAGCAGATTGTCCAGGACTGTACTCATCCATCCAAGCAGCTTGGGTGCTTCCAGGAGCAAGCTGTGGGTTTTCCAAAACACTCTGCACACGCGTGGGTCTGGGATACAAAGGGAAATATAACCAGGAGACAGAAAAGCAACCACTGATAGAGAAAAGGGGGGGGGGCGGGCTTCGCAGCTGGGGCAGGAGCATGATGTGGGACTGGGGGCTGGAGGGCTACGCTGTATAGTGTGATGTTGTGGGGCTAGGAAGCCTCTGCTGATTTCATGCTTGCTGTCACCCCACTCAGGAAGAGCATCTGGTCTGGCTGCGCTTCCACCAGAAGAAGTGGGAGCTGCAAGCGCGGCAGCGCCAGGAGCGGCGGAAGAGGCGGCGGCTGGAGGACGCTGGGGTGGTGTCAGGTGGAGGAGCAGTCCGCGATGCCCTCTCCAAAGGGCTGGGCACTTACCTGCGCCGCACAGCGCGCAGCATCCTGGACTTGCCCTGGCAAATCGTGCAGGTACCAGGGAGGTGACCTGCCACAGAGCAGCCTGGGGCACAAGCCTCACGTTTACACTCTGTGGTCAAACGGTGAAGTTCGGGAACCCTGACCTACCCCATGTAAGTGTTAGCCCTGGGGAGCCCAGGAGGGGCTGCAGAACCTCAGACTCACACACATCCGGATGGAAACAGGTGCCTACAGAGTCATTCTTGGTGACTCTCAGGATAGATCTGCTGGTGGGGCAGGTCTAGTTCAGGCCTCAGGCAGCACTCCACAGTCACAGAACGGCAAAAACATCCACTGAGGCTGGGGCAGCTTTCATGTCCCACTGGTCCCACATCCTGCTCAGTCAGGGCCACCAGAGCTGGGGACCCAGTGGAATATCTCCAGGGATGGAGAGTGCACACATTCCGTGGGCAACCTGGACCAGGTTTGCCTTTGCAGGGAGAAAGTTTCTGACATGCAGAAGGACCCTCCTGCATTCTGCTTTGTGCCCATGATGTCTGGTCCTGCCATTGGGTACCACTGGGGAGAGTCAGGTTCTGTCCTCTATGCACTTCCCTTTGGGTATATATATGGATGAGATCCCTCTGAGCTTTATCTGCTCTGGGATGGACAGTCCCAGTTCTGCCAGCCTTTCCTGATATGAAAGATGCTCCAATCCCTTCTTCCTCCTTGTGGCCCTTCACTCCATTCAGTATGTCTATGTCCTGTGTTGAGGAGCCCAGCATTGGATGCAGGGTTCCAGTGGTGTTTAGAAGCAGACAGTGTACAAATGAAGAGGTGGGGTGGTGTCATCCAGGTGTTTTTGCAAACATTTGTTAAGTGTGGCCACCTAAGCCCAACCTCTGTCACCCCCCTGCATCCTACAGAAAGGTCTCAGAGCTGCAGGTCTAGGACTTCAAAGTGACTTGGAAGATATTCACTGGAGTTAGTTGGCCAGCCTGAGGCAGAGTTTTCTTCATGGTACCCTGGGACAGTAGCAGGACACGGATTGCAGAGCTGAAAGTGATGACTCTCTAAGCCCCCTGCTTTGTTTTTAGCCACCAGCAGACCATGTAGATCCCCAGAGTGCTCTGCAGTGTAAACACTGAGGGCATGTGTGATCTCCTAACACTGACCTCGTGTCCCATGTCCTGCAGATCGCTGAGACTGGCCAGCCTGGGCTGTTCCGGCTGTGGGCAGTGATAGGGAGTGACCTGCACTGCATCAAGCTGAGCATTCCCCGTGTCTTCTATGTCAACCAGCGCATCCCAAAGCCTGAGGAGGGAACAGCCTACAGGAAGGTGAGGACCTGCCCCTCTGGAAGGGGAAACAGCTGCTTGCACTTAGGTAAGACACTTCACCTCCCCGTAAGCAGGATTTACAAGCATTTGCGGTGCAACACCTCATTCTTCTACCCCATGGATAATTCTCATCCAGGTCCTAGTCCCTCTACTAATCCCACCTTACCTGGAAATCAAGTTTTCTGTTACAGGAATTTGTAACGTGCATGAGCATAACGCACTGATTTCCTTCAGAGAGAGCACCAGGAGCTAGCCTGGCTCAGAGCCTGGGTCCTGACAGTGATGCCATGTGGTGGGATGTGTCCCAATAATCCTGTCCCTTGCCTTGGCAGGTAAACAGGATCCTGCCCCGCTCAAACTTAGTTTACAATTTGTATGAATACTCTGTTCCTGAAGACATGTACCAAGAGCACATTAACGAAATCAATGCGGACCTCTCTGCTCCAGACATCGAGGGAGTGTATGAGACACAGGTAACTCCTCCAAGTGCTCGTCTTTAAGGGTTGCTGAGCAGTAGCTTGTTAGTCTGAGTTACAATGAGACCAAAAATCCAAGACCCTGGATATTCTCCAGAAAACTGGCAGTTATGCTCATATGGACAAATGCTGAGTATCAGCATATGGGTTACAGTATGTCAAGAAAGGGACTTCAGTTTATTTGGAGTTAGGAAACTTTGGGGAAAGAAATTGAGAGCTTCCTCTAAACTAATCCAGAGCCACCCTGCTGGTATTGGAACCAGGAAGGAGAACGGGCATTTGGAGTAAAGCTGGGGGGAAACCAAACATATGTGGAGTAATACATAGGTCTGAGCGTCTGAGTGCCGTGTCCTCTAAAACATGGTTGTAAAAGCTTTAGAAAAAAGAACAGCATATAACTTGGAAGTTTGGGGAAAGCAAGCATAACCTAAAAGAAATCTTGTAGAAAGGAATGAGGCTAAAATTTAATTTGCCAGTGCTGAAAATGAAGGTGGGAACCTCAGATGCTTGCTTCCAGTGAGGATATTGACTTGTCATGCAGATACAACCTTATGACAGGAATTTAACTGAGAAGATATTGTAGTGAAAAGACCTGGCCTGTATGGAAGTGGCAGAATAGACCACACCATTGTAGGAGTGGAGTTAAAGAAAGCATAAAGGCAGGTGAATTTGGTACTGAAATGCACTGTAGGATTATCATGGATGGAGAGTCCTGAGCAGGACAAGCTTTGCTGTGAGCAGAGGTGCCACTGCCTATGAAATGCTTTCTGAGGTGCAGGAGGCTGCAAGGGCAAAAAGATCATCAAGGAGTTGGGTGACTTTTGCTACTGAAGTTACTGGTGTAACCTGAGAAGCATTCCAGTGGGACATAGTTAAAGAAAACTTTTTTATTCATCTTAAGTTTCTGCTTTTGAAAAATTTGAAGAAAGGTCTCTCAAGGCAAGGCACAACTCTTAATGATTATGTGGAGGCTATGAAATCCTGTGGTGATGTAAAAGGTTGAATCATATATGCCATCAGCAATTGAAAATGGTGCCTGTCAAACCATACTGAGGTTTAGTAAGCGGCACCCAAAACTTACTTCAGATTACTTGTCCGAAGTGACTGGCATGTACCCAAATTCTTTATATCTATAGACCTTCCTCTAGGAAAACCTGAGTCCTCTCCACTTCTAGTAGTGTTTAATAAGTGGGAAAGTGAAAAATCAAGAAGTTAACAGGAAATTAAAACGAGCAGTTGAAGTAAAACAAAGGACATGGAGAAGTTTTAAAGATATGAAGGAATTTAGTTAGTCATGGGGTAACAGCACCTGTCATCTGAAGGGAGGTTGAGTGAGTTGGACTGTGCGGCACAGAAGAGGCTCGATGCAAAGAATGGAGAAGAGCCAGGCTCTGCTCTGGTGCCCAGGAATGAATGGGAGGCAGTGGACACAACCTAAAACATGAAAATTCTGTGTAAATGTCAGAAAAAACTTCTGCAAATATCGTTGTGCAGGTTGCCCAAGGGTTTGTGGAGTTTTCATCCCCAGAGACAGTTAACCCAGATGGATACTGATCTGGGCAAGGGAAGATCTGTCTTGATCTTTAAACATCTGCAATGCAGTTCTGTTCATGATCCGAAAAAATGCAGCAGGAGTAACAGAAGGATGCAAGGGAGGGAACACTTTGCCCTTGGGGATGGAACTTAGATGGGAATGCTTCATCTTGCTGAAGAGATGTAAGGGGCTTCTACAACTAAAACTAGCAAAGGGGAAGAGCAATCAGGCAACAAGTGTTTATTGCTTCTCACTAGTTAGGGACCAGGTTCCTCAGCAAGCTTTCAGGAGTCTCTTGCAGCAGTAGATTTGACAGCTACAGGGTTAATAAAACAGGATGGATCTGTGGTGACTCTCCCATCATGCCAATTACCTGGAGGTTCAAATGGAGCCCCTGCCTCAGAGTGACAAACCACAAGTTGCAGAGCAGCAAGATTGCCCACATATTGCTCCACATGTCCTCCATAGTACCTTGATGGTGGGATCTGGGCCTAGATAGGAAGACACGTGTTTTGAGATACCTGTTCTATACCTTTAGCGAGGCTGATAATACCAAACTCATGCCAAGGCACCTCAGGTATGTGCTACCTGTGAGTTTTAATCTGGGTCATTCTAGGTCTGCAACCCCCAAGAAGAGCTTAGTAGCAGTTCCATCACATCTCTCCCCCTCACTCCAGGTGCCACTGCTCTTCCGTGCCCTCATCCACCTGGGCTGCGTGTGCATGGTCAGCAGGCAGCTTGTCCGGCACCTGGCGGGGCGAGAGGCTGAAACCTTCAACATTGAGCACCTGGAGATGCGCTCACTGGCACAATTCACTTACCTGGAGCCAGGTGAGGCATCTTGGGAGAGCGTCTCCTGGGGCACCTGGTGTCCGTGGGCACCATTGATGCTCTGTGCTCTGTGTCCCCAGGGAGCATTCGCCACATCTACCTGTACCACAGCTCCCAGGGCAGCAAGGCACTCCTGGGCCTCTTCATCCCCTCACAGCGCAAGGCTGCCGTCTTCGTGCTGGACAAGGTAAGGAGCACTGTGGGGAGTGGGAAATTGGGGGTGCTGATGGCTGGACGTGCTCTGGCTATGTTCCCTGACAGCCCAGAAAACCCCCCCATGTCATGGACTGATCCCCACAGCATGGGCAGCAGGGAAGGGAGGGATTCTGCCCCTCTGCCTTGCTCAGGTGAGACCCCACAAGTAGAGCTGCCTCCCGCCCTGGGGTTTGCAACATAGGAACGACATGGAGCTGCTGAAACAAGTTCAGAGGAGGCCACAAAGATGCTCTGAGGAAGGCTGGAGCATTTCTGCTTTAGAGACAGGCTGGGAGAACTGGAAGTATTCAACCAGGAGAAGAGAAGAGAAGGCTCCAGGGAGACCTTAGAGCCCCTNGAGTAATAGAGAAAATTTCATCTCCAAAAGGATTGTCCACCTCTGGCACAGACAGGCTGTCCACGGCAGTGGTAGAGTCCCTATCCCTGGAGGAAGATGTGACACTTGGGTACATGGGTTAGTGGTGGCTTTGGCACTGCTGGAGGAATGGTTTGACTTGGTGATATTAGAGGGCTTTTCATGATTCTGTGATTCTGTGAGAATGATTCTGTGATTCTGAGACAAGGGGGTGGGAGGGAACAAGAGTCTAACTGGGTCCTTGTCGTGACCTACTGGTCCGGGGGCATGATGTTCATCATAAATTCTCTTCAGGTTGAACAAACACACTGGTCATGTGTCAGGAACTCTTTATGTTTTAGTGTACAGTCGCTGTAACTCCAGCAACCAGCCCACTGCTTAAACTCGAAAAGTCAACAAGCAAATTCTTACAATAGACTTCTACAAAGAGTGGCAGCAAAAAAGCCCTTCATTTTGTACTGAACACTTCAATAAGTTCTCACCTCCCACCACAAGCTCCTCAAAAGGCACTGACTCACAAGCTGCTATAGACCACCAATATTTAAGGGTACTGGCTAACAAGCTGCAATACACCATCACACAAAGGTGCTGGCACATGAGCCACAGCACCACTCCTCAAAGGTCCTGGCTAACAAGCCACAACACACCATTACACAAGCTCCCCACTCGCACAACAGGGTTCAATACAAAGTATGAAGTAGAATATGACAGCCCTGCTTTGCTCGGGCAAAACAAGGGAAGAAAACAAAGAATATCACCAGTCCTTAGATCTGTGTTGGTCTTGCTTTGGTCATGCCACATGGGTGGTCCAGAGCTGGATCAAACAATGAGACAAAGCAAGTGGAAGAGAGAATAAAAAGAAAAGAGAGAGGGGGACCTATTTGTTCCCTTTCATGCACAGCCAGCCTTCTTCTGAATGTGTGTTGCTGAGGGGACTAAGCATGAGTATTAAGGTGTGGCAGAGAATTGGCTCAGAACAGCACTGCCAGACCTCCGTGGGACCTTCTCCTCCAATCACACCTTTCCTGTAGCAATACTCAGAATGTTTGAGACAAAACATGTTTAGTCCTGGTCTTCTACAGTCCTTCGTTTTGTGATGCTGTTTTGCAACAAATTTTTGGTAAGCCTAACTTTTCATGCACAACACAAAGAGGTGCTGCTACAGCCCAGTCGTGGCACAAACGTGCAAGTCAGAACCCCACATTCCTTCTTTTCTATAGGTCCCACTGGCAGTTGCACCAGGAAGCAATTCTCAGGCTCCCTGTAAAGAGACACAATCAGCTGTGTGTGGTGCTCCCCGTTCCTGACAGTAGCAAAGTTTTATCATTTGTTCTTGATAAGTTTGGGCTTTTTCCTGTCTTTCAGGCTGCCAACATGCCTGATTCAGAGCTGTTTGAGCTCATCTCAGAGAACCGGTCCATGTCACGCAAACTGGAGGACTATGGGGAGCAGAAGTCCACCTCCATCAGCACTGCCAAGCGCTTGGCAGAATTTTTGGGGGACCAGATGGTGAAGGATGCAGGGTTGAGCTGTCGCTTCATCATTTCCAAGAAACCAGAAGGGTCTCCAGTCACAGAGAGGTAACCTCATCTGGAGGGGCCTGGGCTTCTGGCCTTGTGGGAGAAACCAAGAGGGGATGGGCAGGTAGCAGGCAGGAAGAGAAATAGAATACATGGCCAGGTCATCCCCTGAATCTGGTGCAGGCCATGGGCAGGGCAATGGGTAACACTGTACAGCCTAGTGGCCTGCAGGAGTTTAGGAGAAGCCTGGAGGATCTCCACAGGCTGGGAGAGTAGATGGTTGGGTGCTAGGACATTGATTCCCTGCCTTCCCCAGGGCCATCCCCCTTGCCATCTTCCAAGCCGAGCCCAGTGTGCGTAAACACTACCTCCGAAAATGGCTGAAGAGTCCCTCACTGCAGGACTTCAACATCCGTGCGGTGAGTGAGGCATCCCTTCAGATGACCCCGTGTGGGCGGTTGCTTCCTGTGCTCACAAAGCAGGGAGCTGGGGTGGGGGTGCTACTGGCATATTTGATCCTATGTCTGGGGACCCTTCTGCTTGGATTTCTTCACTGTCCAAGCTTTGCCTTCTTCCCAGATCTTGGACTGGGACTACTACATTGAGAGACTGGGCAGCACCATCCAGAAAATCATCACCATTCCTGCAGCCCTGCAGCAGGTATGTGGCAATGAGGGAGGTGGACAGGAGGAAGGATTTGTGCTGGGGACTCAGTGTGATTTGGAGCTACTCTGCAGGTAAAGAACCCAGTGCCACGGGTCCGACACCCAGACTGGCTTCATAAGAAACTCCTGGAGAAGAATGATGTGTACAAACAGAAAAAAATCAATGAGCTCTTTGTTTCAGAAGGCAAGAAACAGGTAAAGAGGATGAGGGGAAGGTGCTAGCTGTGCCAGTGGGGCTTTTCTCTTGCAGCCCCCATCCTGCTGCTTTCCTTGCTCTCTCAGGTTCCTGCCAGCCGGCCTGTGGATGGGACACCCAGCTCACAGGTGGGTGACATAGAGGACTTCAGGGCTGTCAAGATCCCTCAGCCACTGGTTCCCATTGCAAATAAGCGGAAGCGCATCCCTGCAGCAGAGGAAAGCCAACAGCTGTCCCAGGACCTGGAGCTGTCCCAGTCCTGGCGGGAGATCCTGGGACCACCTCCACTCCTTGGCACCACCAGGGTAGGTGAAGCAGATTGTCCAGGACTGTACTCATCCATCCAAGCAGCTTGGGTGCTTCCAGGAGCAAGCTGTGGGTTTTCCAAAACACTCTGCACACGCGTGGGTCTGGGATACAAAGGGAAATATAACCAGGAGACAGAAAAGCAACCACTGATAGAGAAAAGGGGGGGGGGCGGGCTTCGCAGCTGGGGCAGGAGCATGATGTGGGACTGGGGGCTGGAGGGCTACGCTGTATAGTGTGATGTTGTGGGGCTAGGAAGCCTCTGCTGATTTCATGCTTGCTGTCACCCCACTCAGGAAGAGCATCTGGTCTGGCTGCGCTTCCACCAGAAGAAGTGGGAGCTGCAAGCGCGGCAGCGCCAGGAGCGGCGGAAGAGGCGGCGGCTGGAGGACGCTGGGGTGGTGTCAGGTGGAGGAGCAGTCCGCGATGCCCTCTCCAAAGGGCTGGGCACTTACCTGCGCCGCACAGCGCGCAGCATCCTGGACTTGCCCTGGCAAATCGTGCAGGTACCAGGGAGGTGACCTGCCACAGAGCAGCCTGGGGCACAAGCCTCACGTTTACACTCTGTGGTCAAACGGTGAAGTTCGGGAACCCTGACCTACCCCATGTAAGTGTTAGCCCTGGGGAGCCCAGGAGGGGCTGCAGAACCTCAGACTCACACACATCCGGATGGAAACAGGTGCCTACAGAGTCATTCTTGGTGACTCTCAGGATAGATCTGCTGGTGGGGCAGGTCTAGTTCAGGCCTCAGGCAGCACTCCACAGTCACAGAACGGCAAAAACATCCACTGAGGCTGGGGCAGCTTTCATGTCCCACTGGTCCCACATCCTGCTCAGTCAGGGCCACCAGAGCTGGGGACCCAGTGGAATATCTCCAGGGATGGAGAGTGCACACATTCCGTGGGCAACCTGGACCAGGTTTGCCTTTGCAGGGAGAAAGTTTCTGACATGCAGAAGGACCCTCCTGCATTCTGCTTTGTGCCCATGATGTCTGGTCCTGCCATTGGGTACCACTGGGGAGAGTCAGGTTCTGTCCTCTATGCACTTCCCTTTGGGTATATATATGGATGAGATCCCTCTGAGCTTTATCTGCTCTGGGATGGACAGTCCCAGTTCTGCCAGCCTTTCCTGATATGAAAGATGCTCCAATCCCTTCTTCCTCCTTGTGGCCCTTCACTCCATTCAGTATGTCTATGTCCTGTGTTGAGGAGCCCAGCATTGGATGCAGGGTTCCAGTGGTGTTTAGAAGCAGACAGTGTACAAATGAAGAGGTGGGGTGGTGTCATCCAGGTGTTTTTGCAAACATTTGTTAAGTGTGGCCACCTAAGCCCAACCTCTGTCACCCCCCTGCATCCTACAGAAAGGTCTCAGAGCTGCAGGTCTAGGACTTCAAAGTGACTTGGAAGATATTCACTGGAGTTAGTTGGCCAGCCTGAGGCAGAGTTTTCTTCATGGTACCCTGGGACAGTAGCAGGACACGGATTGCAGAGCTGAAAGTGATGACTCTCTAAGCCCCCTGCTTTGTTTTTAGCCACCAGCAGACCATGTAGATCCCCAGAGTGCTCTGCAGTGTAAACACTGAGGGCATGTGTGATCTCCTAACACTGACCTCGTGTCCCATGTCCTGCAGATCGCTGAGACTGGCCAGCCTGGGCTGTTCCGGCTGTGGGCAGTGATAGGGAGTGACCTGCACTGCATCAAGCTGAGCATTCCCCGTGTCTTCTATGTCAACCAGCGCATCCCAAAGCCTGAGGAGGGAACAGCCTACAGGAAGGTGAGGACCTGCCCCTCTGGAAGGGGAAACAGCTGCTTGCACTTAGGTAAGACACTTCACCTCCCCGTAAGCAGGATTTACAAGCATTTGCGGTGCAACACCTCATTCTTCTACCCCATGGATAATTCTCATCCAGGTCCTAGTCCCTCTACTAATCCCACCTTACCTGGAAATCAAGTTTTCTGTTACAGGAATTTGTAACGTGCATGAGCATAACGCACTGATTTCCTTCAGAGAGAGCACCAGGAGCTAGCCTGGCTCAGAGCCTGGGTCCTGACAGTGATGCCATGTGGTGGGATGTGTCCCAATAATCCTGTCCCTTGCCTTGGCAGGTAAACAGGATCCTGCCCCGCTCAAACTTAGTTTACAATTTGTATGAATACTCTGTTCCTGAAGACATGTACCAAGAGCACATTAACGAAATCAATGCGGACCTCTCTGCTCCAGACATCGAGGGAGTGTATGAGACACAGGTAACTCCTCCAAGTGCTCGTCTTTAAGGGTTGCTGAGCAGTAGCTTGTTAGTCTGAGTTACAATGAGACCAAAAATCCAAGACCCTGGATATTCTCCAGAAAACTGGCAGTTATGCTCATATGGACAAATGCTGAGTATCAGCATATGGGTTACAGTATGTCAAGAAAGGGACTTCAGTTTATTTGGAGTTAGGAAACTTTGGGGAAAGAAATTGAGAGCTTCCTCTAAACTAATCCAGAGCCACCCTGCTGGTATTGGAACCAGGAAGGAGAACGGGCATTTGGAGTAAAGCTGGGGGGAAACCAAACATATGTGGAGTAATACATAGGTCTGAGCGTCTGAGTGCCGTGTCCTCTAAAACATGGTTGTAAAAGCTTTAGAAAAAAGAACAGCATATAACTTGGAAGTTTGGGGAAAGCAAGCATAACCTAAAAGAAATCTTGTAGAAAGGAATGAGGCTAAAATTTAATTTGCCAGTGCTGAAAATGAAGGTGGGAACCTCAGATGCTTGCTTCCAGTGAGGATATTGACTTGTCATGCAGATACAACCTTATGACAGGAATTTAACTGAGAAGATATTGTAGTGAAAAGACCTGGCCTGTATGGAAGTGGCAGAATAGACCACACCATTGTAGGAGTGGAGTTAAAGAAAGCATAAAGGCAGGTGAATTTGGTACTGAAATGCACTGTAGGATTATCATGGATGGAGAGTCCTGAGCAGGACAAGCTTTGCTGTGAGCAGAGGTGCCACTGCCTATGAAATGCTTTCTGAGGTGCAGGAGGCTGCAAGGGCAAAAAGATCATCAAGGAGTTGGGTGACTTTTGCTACTGAAGTTACTGGTGTAACCTGAGAAGCATTCCAGTGGGACATAGTTAAAGAAAACTTTTTTATTCATCTTAAGTTTCTGCTTTTGAAAAATTTGAAGAAAGGTCTCTCAAGGCAAGGCACAACTCTTAATGATTATGTGGAGGCTATGAAATCCTGTGGTGATGTAAAAGGTTGAATCATATATGCCATCAGCAATTGAAAATGGTGCCTGTCAAACCATACTGAGGTTTAGTAAGCGGCACCCAAAACTTACTTCAGATTACTTGTCCGAAGTGACTGGCATGTACCCAAATTCTTTATATCTATAGACCTTCCTCTAGGAAAACCTGAGTCCTCTCCACTTCTAGTAGTGTTTAATAAGTGGGAAAGTGAAAAATCAAGAAGTTAACAGGAAATTAAAACGAGCAGTTGAAGTAAAACAAAGGACATGGAGAAGTTTTAAAGATATGAAGGAATTTAGTTAGTCATGGGGTAACAGCACCTGTCATCTGAAGGGAGGTTGAGTGAGTTGGACTGTGCGGCACAGAAGAGGCTCGATGCAAAGAATGGAGAAGAGCCAGGCTCTGCTCTGGTGCCCAGGAATGAATGGGAGGCAGTGGACACAACCTAAAACATGAAAATTCTGTGTAAATGTCAGAAAAAACTTCTGCAAATATCGTTGTGCAGGTTGCCCAAGGGTTTGTGGAGTTTTCATCCCCAGAGACAGTTAACCCAGATGGATACTGATCTGGGCAAGGGAAGATCTGTCTTGATCTTTAAACATCTGCAATGCAGTTCTGTTCATGATCCGAAAAAATGCAGCAGGAGTAACAGAAGGATGCAAGGGAGGGAACACTTTGCCCTTGGGGATGGAACTTAGATGGGAATGCTTCATCTTGCTGAAGAGATGTAAGGGGCTTCTACAACTAAAACTAGCAAAGGGGAAGAGCAATCAGGCAACAAGTGTTTATTGCTTCTCACTAGTTAGGGACCAGGTTCCTCAGCAAGCTTTCAGGAGTCTCTTGCAGCAGTAGATTTGACAGCTACAGGGTTAATAAAACAGGATGGATCTGTGGTGACTCTCCCATCATGCCAATTACCTGGAGGTTCAAATGGAGCCCCTGCCTCAGAGTGACAAACCACAAGTTGCAGAGCAGCAAGATTGCCCACATATTGCTCCACATGTCCTCCATAGTACCTTGATGGTGGGATCTGGGCCTAGATAGGAAGACACGTGTTTTGAGATACCTGTTCTATACCTTTAGCGAGGCTGATAATACCAAACTCATGCCAAGGCACCTCAGGTATGTGCTACCTGTGAGTTTTAATCTGGGTCATTCTAGGTCTGCAACCCCCAAGAAGAGCTTAGTAGCAGTTCCATCACATCTCTCCCCCTCACTCCAGGTGCCACTGCTCTTCCGTGCCCTCATCCACCTGGGCTGCGTGTGCATGGTCAGCAGGCAGCTTGTCCGGCACCTGGCGGGGCGAGAGGCTGAAACCTTCAACATTGAGCACCTGGAGATGCGCTCACTGGCACAATTCACTTACCTGGAGCCAGGTGAGGCATCTTGGGAGAGCGTCTCCTGGGGCACCTGGTGTCCGTGGGCACCATTGATGCTCTGTGCTCTGTGTCCCCAGGGAGCATTCGCCACATCTACCTGTACCACAGCTCCCAGGGCAGCAAGGCACTCCTGGGCCTCTTCATCCCCTCACAGCGCAAGGCTGCCGTCTTCGTGCTGGACAAGGTAAGGAGCACTGTGGGGAGTGGGAAATTGGGGGTGCTGATGGCTGGACGTGCTCTGGCTATGTTCCCTGACAGCCCAGAAAACCCCCCCATGTCATGGACTGATCCCCACAGCATGGGCAGCAGGGAAGGGAGGGATTCTGCCCCTCTGCCTTGCTCAGGTGAGACCCCACAAGTAGAGCTGCCTCCCGCCCTGGGGTTTGCAACATAGGAACGACATGGAGCTGCTGAAACAAGTTCAGAGGAGGCCACAAAGATGCTCTGAGGAAGGCTGGAGCATTTCTGCTTTAGAGACAGGCTGGGAGAACTGGAAGTATTCAACCAGGAGAAGAGAAGAGAAGGCTCCAGGGAGACCTTAGAGCCCCTTCCAGTGCCTAAAGAGCTGGAGAGGAACTTTGGACAAGGGATAGAGTGACAGAACAATGAGGAATGACTTCCCACTACCAGAGGACAGGGTTAGGTGGGATATTGGGACGAAATTGTTCCCTGTGAGGGTGGTGAGGCCCTGGCACAGGTTTGCTGACAAATCTGTGGCTGCCCCATCCCCAGAAGTATTCTAGGTCAGGTTGGATGAGGTCTGGAGCAACCTGGTCTAGTTGACCATAGGATGAAGATTAGGAAAAACTTCACCAAAACTGTTGTCAAGCCTTGTTACAGCTACCCAGGACAGTGGTGGAGTCACCATCTCTGGAGGGATTTAAAAGATAGGAGGATGTAGCACTTGGAGACATGGTTTAGTGGTGGCCTTGGGTGACCAGCTGAACTTGAACATAAAGGTATTTTCCAACCTAAGCAATTCTGAGATTGTGTATTGTCCCTGTCTGTGGCAGTGGTTAGACTAGACAACCTTTAAAGGTCCTTTCCACCCCAGACCATTCCCTGGTAGGGCCAGGCAGCAGGACGTTTCTCCATACATCGCACATCCCTGCCGTGTTTTGACAGGCCCCCTGGCATTGCACAACCCAGGGTCACTCTCTCCCTGCTCTGACCTGGTCCCTCTTACACCCAGGTACGCAGCAACCAGATGCCAAACCTCACCACCTTATTCTCGGTGGAGCGCACGGCTCTGCTGGAAAAGGTGGGCAAGGAGCTGTTGCCCCCAGACAAACACACCTTCGAGGTGCGTGCTGAGACCGACCCCAAGGCCATCTACAGAGGTGTGCAGCGGCTGCTCTTGGGCTACAAGGTGAAATGAAGGTGTGGGGAAGGTTTCAGTGGGACCTTTGGGACTAAGGGAAAGATGCTGTGGAAGGCACTGGTGCACTAGTACCAGGAACACTTGCACATAACTGCTGGACCCAAGGTCAAGAAGTGGGTGCTTGTTTTGCTTGTGGGGGGCTTGCTTGGGGCAGTGGTAGCAGCAGGGCCCACGTCAGGATCTCGCTCCATCCCTGCACTCGGCTGGAGAGCTGGTGGTGTTGGAGGTGGGTGAGTGCTTCAGAAATGCTGGGGTGTGCTGTCCCAGGACTGTGGGACCTGCTATGAGGATAGGGCACCTGACACCACCAGCTTCCTGCTAAGCAAGTGAGAGGTGCACCAGGACATGTCTCTTTCTCCTTGGTGCAGGACGAGCGCCGGGGCCCCACGTTGGTGGCTGTGCAGTCCAACTGGGACCTGAAACGGCTGGCAAGTGGGATCCCCAGCATTGAGGAGTTCCCCTTGGTCCCCATCCGGCTGGTAGATGACATCAGCTACTCGGTGCTGGATTGGCAGCGCCATGCCGCCCGCCGCATGATTCGCCACTACCTCAACCTAGATACCTGCCTCTCCCAGGCTTTTGAGATGAGCAGGTACCTAGGGTGGCCATGTTCCCCTAAGACTGCCATGCTCTCAGTGGGACCACAGGAGCTGCCTCATCCCTTGAGGGGATGGTCAGGTCTCTGTTTTTCCTGCAGCCATGCTCACACTAATGACTACTGATGTCTGTGCCTCAGGTACTACCACATCCCCATTGGGAACCTCCCTGATGACATCTCCACCTTTGGCTCTGACCTATTCTTCTCACGCCACCTTTGTCGTCACAACCACCTGTTGTGGCTGTCCCCCACGGCCCGCCCCGACCTAGGGGGGAAGGAGGCCGATGACAACCGCCTGGTCATGGAGTTCGATGAGAGAGCCTCAGTTGAGATCAACAACCCTGGCTGCTACTCCACAGGTGAAGAGGGAAGAGGGTGGTAGCACTGAATGGGGCTCTGCGAGTCCTGCAGAGGGGTGGATGCAGTCCCCAAAGAGTCTCTATGGTGACAGTTGTACCAGCAGCTTTCAGGTTTCAGCATCCGTATGGGCAAAATGGATGGCTAGGGACATGTCCTGGAGCAGGGAAGGCTCGCCTTTAACATGTGCAGTCATCAAAATAGGGATTTTTTACCAGCGACCAATGACAGCAGCACTTGGCACACCACCTGCAATGTTGTCAGCCCAAGGAAAGCTCACTTGGTCATCACTGGTGATGCTGGGACAGCATTAGGCAGCTTTAGTGAGTTCTTCTGAGGTCCACTGTTGCAGCCTCCAGGAAAACAAGGTCAGTAGGTCCAAGTCTCGTTGAAAGACAAAGCTCAATCAACACTTAGGAAGATCCAGTCATGCCTATGAAAGCATCTGCCCTCTGAGTGCAGTAGCACCTCTAGATTAAATCACCCTGTACCTGTGAAAAGCACTTCTGGCAGCAGCAGGGTGTGTGTTCCTAGTCCTTTCCCTGCCTTCCTGCTGACAGTTGTGTCTGCTGTTAGTGTGTCTTGAGCTGGACATCCAGAGCCTGGCTGTGAACACCGTGTTGCAGTCCCACCACGTGAATGACATGGAAGGAGGCTCCAGCATGAGCATTAGCTTCGATGTGATTCAGCAGGCATCCCTGGAGGACATGGTGACAGGCAACCAAGCTGCCAACATCCCAGCCAGCTACGATGAAACTGCCCTCTGCTCCAATGCTTTCAGGTGTGGCTTGAGAAACAGCAAGAGGTTGAGCAGGTGCTCTTCTTCCTGGTCCTGCTTCATTCCTTCCTGGCTTTAGCCTTTCTCCAGCAGTAGTGCTTGTAGGGTGCTCTAAGTATAAATCCAGGCCTCAAGTGCATGGCAGGCATCTTCTTCACCACACTGGAAGATCCTCAGAGCTGCTTGGTGCCTCAGCCAGCAGATATGTGGGGATGTTGCTTTCTCCTTTGTTCATGCTCCACCAGCTTATAGAGGCACGGATCATGTGCTGAGGGCTGAACAAGGGAGTTCCTGTTCTAAATCCTCTAGTGTGTCTGTAAACACATCCCTATCAGGAAGGGAGAAGGGGTTGCTGGTGGCTGGTGGGGTGATGCTGGTCTCTGCTTGCTGGCAGGATTTTGAAGAGCATGGTGGTGAGTTGGGTGAAGGAGATTACACAGTACCACAACGTCTATGCAGACAACCAGGTCATTCACTTTTACCGCTGGCTCCGCTCTCCTTCCTCCCTGCTCTATGACCCAGCATTGCATCGCACGCTCCACAACATGATGAAGAAGCTTTTCCTGCAGTAAGTGAGGTCTGAAGTGTGCCAGGCGGGTGGGTGGGGAATAGAGAGGTGTGGTGTTATTGACCAGGCTGCTGGCACCCAAGTGATCCTCCGGAAAGATGGGGCAGTTGGATGGACCTCTCATGCTCTTTGGGTGACTTCCCTTGCCCAGTGTTGCTGCATGTTGACTCCAGGCTGATGGATCAACGCATTCTCATTGGGTCACATCTGCCCCTCTGGCATTGCTTTCCTGCCCACTGACCCCACCCTGTACCCTGCTGCAGGCTGGTGGCCGAGTTCAAGCGCCTGGGCTCCTCTGTGGTCTATGCCAACTTCAACCGCATCATCTTGTGCACCAAGAAGCGGCGCATTGAGGATGCCATCAGCTACATGGAGTACATCATCAACAGGTGGAGTGCACCTGGAAATGAGGCTCCTGGGTGGTGGGGCTGGGGCAGGGCTCTGACTTTTTGCCTTCTGATGCATCTCAGAACTGAATTTATTACTTTTTTTGGCAAAGCTACTGAACGGACAAGGCTTCCCAGATCTCTTGCTGTCATGCCTGGAGTAGTAATCTGTCCCTAGCTGCCCTTTATAGGCAGTATTCCAAGTATACTCATAGGATTCAATCCTGAAGAGAGCTCCAGGAGAGCCTGAGATGCCCAGCAACTAATCCCCTGGCTGGCTGTCCGCATCTCAGCTGTGGTATAGGCACCTTGACACAACAGCAGAGAGCCAAGTGTCCTTGGACATGACTTCCCCTGGGATCCCTGGCAGGGGTCCGATGGGAAAGGGGACACTCCTGGCCAGTACCACCTCCTCACAGTGTCCCATGGAGAAGAGATGATGCTGACACAGGGACTGACTGCAGTTTCCTCCCTCCAGCATCCACTCCAAGGAGATCTTCCACTCTCTGACCATCTCATTCTCCCGCTGCTGGGAGTTCCTGCTCTGGATGGACCCAGCAAATTATGGAGGTATCAAGGGAAAAGTGGATTCTCGCATCCACTATGGGGAGGTAAGACATGGGAAGCACCCTGTCCCTTGGGAGCAGAGCGGGGAGGTGTTGGCTGGGCATGAGGGACTGCTATGGTATTGCTGGGACCCCCAGAAGGACACCAGCAAGAGGCAGGCATTGGAGGAGGAGGAGAGTGAGGAAGAGGAGGAGGAGGAGGTGGCAAGGGAAGAAGAGGAGGAGGAAGGGGAGCCAATTGTGGAGGAGCTGCTGGAGAACAACTGGAACATTGCACAGTTCCTGCCCCAGGCTGGCTCCTGCCAGAGCTACTTCTTGATGATCATATCAGGTGAGCAGTACAGGGAGATGCTGAGGTCATTGTTGCCCCCCTAGTGCCAGCTCTGGGTAGGAGCTGGAGTCTTGCCTATGTCTTCCCAGCCTACATCGTGGCTGTGTACCACAGCATGAAGGAGGAACTGCGGCGCAACACCCCTGGGAGCACCCCCGTCAAGAGGAGGAGCACCAGCCAGGTGTCCCAGGAGGCTCTAGGGGAGCTAAGGGCCATGCCTGGTGAGTGCCAAGCCCCAGGGCAGCCCTGCTGCAGGCAGAGAGCCACCCACCTTGCTTGCCTGATGTGCCACCAATCAGTTCACTCTCTGCTTCATCCCTCTAGGCATGATCACCTTCTCACAAGATTATGTGGCCAATGAGCTCACCCAAAGCTTCTTCACCATCACCCAGAAGATCCAGAAGAAGATGGCTGGTTCCCGGAATGCCACAGAGCCCTCAGACATGTTCCCAGTCCTGCCTGGCTCCTACTTGCCACTCAACAACCCAGCTCTGGAGTTCATCAAATACGTTTGCAAGGTCAGTGGGGGTGAGTCAGGCCCCTTGGCTGAAGGATTGGGGTCTGAACTGAAATTTTGGTCCTTGTCCATTGCTGCAGCTTTTCCCAGGAGGGATCTACAACCAGTTTACTGTGCCCTGAATCCATATGAGGGTCACAGATCTGAGCTGTCCTGCTGAGAACAGTTTCTGCTGCTAGGCTCACCTGGTTTTCATCCTTGCAGGTCCTCTCCCTGGATGCCAACATAACCAACCAGGTGAACAAACTACGCCGGGACCTGCTGCGCCTCATTGAGGTTGGCGAGTTCTCAGAAGCAGCCCAGTTTCGGGACCCTTGCCGTTCCTATGTGCTTCCTGAAGTCATCTGCAGGAACTGCAACTTCTGCAGGGACCTGGACCTGTGCAAGGACCCTTCCCTTTCCCAGGTACAGCTTCTCTCCTAGGGACAATAGAGGCCCCAGTACAGCAGTGCTGCAGGCCAGCCCATCATCTTACCCACTTTATCTCTTAATCTCCCCTTTGTTTTGCAGCTCTGCCTGCTGCCCATGATCATCCTCACCTAAAGCCAGTTTTCTGTTCTTTTCTAGCTGCATGTGATGGATCTGAGCATGCTAGGGCTTTGGCTTATGTTCTGTCCTCTCCAGAAACAAGTTCCACCATCCCAGTGCATGGAACCTGTGGTGCTCACCTCTCTCTTTTTGCCCCTAGGACAGGTTGGTGCTGCCCGGCTGGCACTGCCCCAACTGCCATGCGCAGTATGATATCGATGCCATCGAGATGGCACTGGTGGAAGCCCTGCAGAAGAAGCTGATGGCCTTTGTGCTGCAGGACCTGGTAAGCACAGGGATCCCCTGCTCTGCCCATTCCCATGGTTGTCTGTGCCTGGACACATTCACTTTGCCACTGACAGAGGGGCTTGGTCTCATCTCCTGACCCACCTGAACCTCCTTGGCCTCCAGGTGTGCAAAAAGTGTCATGCCGTGAAGGAGACGCACATGCCTGTGTACTGTAGCTGTGCTGGAGACTTTGCCCTCACCATCTCCTCCCAGGTATTTCAACACCTGCCCAGCCCAGCAGCTCAGTGAGGGGTCCTAAGGTGCCCTGTGTTTCCGCTGCCTCTGCTCTAACTGTACATCCCCTGGCACCTTCTGAGCTACCCTCTGGCCAGCCCTGCACAGCCACTCACTCCATCAGAGCCCCATCCTTCCCTCCCTGTTCTCTTCTCCCCAGGCCTTCATGGACCATGTCAGTGTCTTCCAGAACATCGCCCGGCACTATGGCATGGCCTACCTGCTGGAAACCATTGAGTGGCTGCTGCACACTAACCTCCAGCTCCAGCAGTGAGGCCTCGGCTGCTCTTCCTGCCTACTCCATGCTCTCACATGTGTGGAGAGTGGACCCCCTTGGCCATGAGCCAGACCAAAAAGACACTGCACACCCCTCCTGCAGTGGGGGAAGGGAGGGAGAGCCATGCTTGAGACTGGGTTGTCTTTTCCCCCAGCTGCCAGCTGGGAGACTTGGGAGTTTCCAGTGGCTGGAGCTGGGCTCTACAGGTCTATGTTGGCCCCAAGTGTGGTTTTAATTTTCAGTTTCTTTAAATAAATGGGTAGTAGAAGGCAGATGCAGTTTTCAGGGAGGGAGGAATCAGGGGCTGTGGGTGTCAGTGGTTGTGGTACCACTGATAGCCTGAGGCATACTGACGACTGTGGCTTCACCCCATCCTCAGCCCAGCCCTTGCCAGCATGAGGCAGGCAGTGCCCATAGGTGCTGCCCACACCTGACAGCAGGTCCTGCCTGTGGGCAGCTGGCTGCAGTGGGGTGACTTCCCTGTGCTAGTGTACTTGGGCAGGCTTGGCCCAAGCACTTGTCAGCTCTCATTAAGGTGTTAGTGGGTCTGTCCAGTGAGGTGGGGGGCAGGAGACCCTATTCACATCCCTGCCGCAGGACCAGCAGCCCATGGCTGGAGGCTGTACATGTCCCCATCATGGCAATGCAGGTCTGGAGGATGGGGACACAGCCACCAGCTCTGACACCCATGTTCCTCCATTTCACCACAGTGAGCAGCCCTAGGCAATGTTTATTGACAGCCTGGGGCTGGCAGTGGTGGCAGGTGGGCTGTAGGACATGTCCCACTCTTCCATGTCTGCTGCTCCTCATGAAGGCAGCAGGTCCCTCAGAACTGGAGGGCTAATGATGGTTTCAGGCAGAGGATGCATTATCCACCCTGTCACTGTGACCTTCCCTGCTCTGGTGGTATCTGCGGTGGTGCAGTGTGGTGGGTGGAGTGGGGTGGGGTGGGGTGTGGCGTGGCTGGGGCAACCCCAGAGTCATGTCCCCCCACTGAGGAACCATCTAAGGAGGAGTCCAATGGGCATTGTGATGATGGGACAGGGCTAACACCTGTAGTTGTAGCCAGGAAGCCAAAGTCCTTTCAGGATGGAGACAGTGGGAGGAAGAGTATGGGCTTCACTGGGTGGTCAGACAGGTCCAGTTTGCACTTATGGCTGATGATCACACTGACCCCACACAGCAGCAGGAGCCATCAGCCCTCACATGCCATGGACACAGCATCCCAAAGGGCATGAGCCCTCCACAGCCATGGCATCTCAATTGGTGCAGGAAGCCATCCTTGTGGGTACAGCATCAGGAGCTTTTGGGCGCCTCAATACAAGAAGATTATAAATCTATTACAGAGCATCCAGTGAAGCCTGTGAGGGTGGTGGAGGGTCTAGATGTGAAGTCATACATCGGGCAGCTGAGGGCACTTGGTTTATTCAGACCTCACCAGGGGAACTGCATCTCCTCTTGAGGGGCAGGCACTGATCTCTGCTCCTCCCCAGGGGAGGGTCAAGCTGGAGATCAGGGAAAGGTTCTTCCCCTAGAGGGTGCTGGGTGCTGGGTGCTGGGCACTGCCCAGGCTCCCCAGGGAATGGGCACAGCCCCATGGCTGCCAGAGTTTCACGAGTGTTTGGACAACAAACACTCTCAGGGATGCCCAGGGTGGGATTGTTGAGGTATCTGGGCAGGGCCAGAAGTAGGACTTGATGAGTCTTGTGTGTTCTTCCAACTCAGGACATTCCATGATTCTGTGAAAAGCACTGACTGGGTGCCAAGGAATAGCTCTGGAGTCCTTGGAGGATCCCAAAAAGGGGGAAGAGCTCTGGGCTGGGCAGACATGGAGGCAGGATGGAGCAGCACTGCAGTTGTACTGGGATGGGTTCTCTCACTTCCAGTGCAAGGCAGGCAGGGAGAATACTGTGGGACACTCTGCTCCTCTGTCCCCTCCTGTCACCTGGCTCACACCAGAGGCCATCCTGAGGTGACACCACAGTCTCCTGCTGCAGCTGATGCTTGCCTCCCCAGGCACTCCTCTCTGGCTCCTGGGGACCTCGGTGGGGCTGGGCGGGGCCTCAGCTGCAGGAGCCGCCCCGTCTGCAGGGCTCGGGCAGAGCAGTTTGGCTGGACTGGGCTCGGCTGCATTCAGCTGAGTTTAGCTGGACTGATTTTGGCTGCATTCAACTGGGCTGGGCTGGCCAGAGTTCAAATAGATTTTTACTTCTCCTTATTAAAGCCCTGATGTCCTCAGTAGCAGTCCAAGGCTGCTCCAAGAAAGCTGTTGGACACGTTTTATCTCTTCTGGAGGAAACTATCCTGGATGACCCCAAGACTTCATCCAGTCACCTCCCGGGGCTTTTGGATCTGTGATTTCAAGACCTTAAATCCCAGGTAGCATACCCAGACTACTCCAGGGAAGCTGCCTGTGATGTTTTGCACTTTGGTAGAAGCTCTCTGATCAAGGATCCAGCTGAGACTCCTCCCATCTCATAGAGTCTTTTCACTAATACTGATAAATCCTGACCTCCTGAATAGCAGTCCCAGACTCCTACAAGGAAGATACCTGAGATGACTTTTCTCTTTTTGAATGAAAATGTATCTGCTGGTATCTCCCTGCAACTTCTCTCAGGCATCTCCCAGTCTTTTAATCTCTAATTTAGGCACTTGATAGCCCAGGCAGCAGCCCCAGACTCCTCCAGTGAAGTTGTCCAAGATGATTTTTCTCTCTTTGTGGAAATTGCATCTTCGAGGTTCCACACGAGGCACCTCTTATGCATCTTCTGGAGTCTTTCCGTCTTTTATTTCAGCACTTGAAATCCCAAATAGCAGCCCCAGATTTCTCCAGGGAAAGTATCCAAGATGATTCTTCTCTGTTCATGGGATCTATATCCTCAAGGATCCACCCAAGACTCCTCCCAGGCATCTTCTAGAAGCTTTGCACAGCTGCTTTAGTCCCCTGAGAACCCAGTAGCAGCTCAAAGCTCCTCCAAGGAAAGCAACCTGAGGTGACCATTTCTCATTGGGAAGGAACTATCTCTTCTGGAATTCACACAAGATTTCTCCCACTTCTTACAGTGCCCTGCAGTCATGGGTAGCAGCCCCAGATTCCTCCCAGGGAGATCTCCAAGATGATCTTTTTCTTTTGGAGGACTCTGTGTCTTGCAGCTGTTTGATGCAACAGTGTGGATCATTGCAACACTGTGGATAATGCACAGTCCTCTGGTCGAAGGCCCCAGAAATGAGTCTGGGAGCACTTCAAGGACCTTGGATGGTTTATGACTGTCTTGGTTTGGAAGACAGTTGTCTGCCAAGAAAGGCAGGAGCCTTTTTTTAAATGGAGAATGTAAACCCCCTCCTTCCAAATTATTATAATTTTGAAATTAAGGGGCTCTCAGGCAAAGATATGGGAATAGGAATAGCAGTTTTTTACTAAAGGAAAATTAAAATAGAAATACTGTATTACAGAGAACAAACCCAAAAAACACTGACAGAGTCAGAATCCAACCTGACACCTTGTCAGTCAGTCAGGGTGTTGGTGCAGCCCTTTAAATGGTGGCTGCATCCTCCTGCAGCAACAGATGTGGTTCAATTGAAGCAGTGCTCCTGTAGACGGTGCAGTTTTCCTCCAAAGGTCCAGTGATGATGTGGAAAGGTCCGATATTCCTCTGGAATTCAGTGGAAAAAGGCTGCCTTGGTGTTCCAAATCTCAGATTTTATCTAGGTAGGAAAGGCTTGGCTCCTCCCCCTGGCTGGAGCATCTCCCAGTGGAATGATGGAATTTTATCAGTCATACAGTAGGACTCAATGGCCCATTAACAGGAGATATCTCCTGGAGGGAGGATGGGCTGTGGGAAAGATAAAGATGACTGCCTTACCTGATTTTATCAGATGGCCCATCAGCAGAGGATATCTCCCGCAGAGATAAGGATCACTGCCTCACCTTGTTTCAACAGATAGTGATAGAATACATACTTTTGGACACATCCTGTATTGCAGCCTAAGACAATGACACCTAAGGCGTGAAAGTCGCCTCCTTCATTAGCGTGGTTGAGCCAGTTATGCCCCATGAGAAGGGATGAAAACCTTCAGGCCATGGTGTGAATGTCCTGCTACTTTCCCAGGGCTGGGGGACTTTTACTGGCCTGAGCCAGTTGTGTAAGGGAGCACATTGGCGTGATAGAAAGCAATATCCCACCTCCCTTCCCTGGCTGAAAAGCCCAGCTTGCACCCCTCTCCCCCTGGGCTGTTTTCTTATTGTCAGCAAAGCACTCAGGATGATCCATCTGCTCCATGGCCTTCCCAGCCACCAACATCAGGCCTGGAGTTCACCAGATCCTCCTTTTCATCCTTTTTGTAGGACCTCACATATGCCGACCCCCTGGTGAACCAGGACTGCTGATAGATGATAAACAAAAAAGAAGACCACTTGCTTAAAGGACAGGATAATTTCTTAAAATTAAAAGAATGCCTGTGCCAGTTAAAATAAAAAATGTTTTTCTTTAGATTTAATTATTTACTTTTTCCCCTAAAATTATTTTCCACAATGGATGCACGACTTGCAAGTGTTGCCCATAATTCAGTAAAGGCATTTTCCAGACTGAGAAATCCAAATACTGTGTGCATGCTGTGGCTTCAGCCATCCTCCTTTGCTGCCCTCACAATGACACCATCACAGACCCACTACCTGGGGGTCTCTCTGTTAATGATTCATCAGGCACTTTTTCTCTTTCTGAGGTCTGTCCTACCTGTCTAATTCTTGGCCAGATTTCCACTACTAATTCTTATTTGTAATTCAACTCATCTGCCTGTCCATTCTCCCCCATTCATGCATCCTTGTTTGTTTGTGTCTCTTGATTGCATGTCCACCTGTGTCAGGCTGATTTACAGGTAGTTATGGGTTGGATGAAAACAATGAATTTTGGGGGTTTTTTTTAAACATGGCATGGCTTTTGGTACATTCTGATTTCTCCTGACGCTGTTTCATGGTTTAGAAATTGTATTCTCCAAGGTACTACTCCCACTAAAACCATGTGCCCCTCCCCTCTCCAACTGGAGGTTAAAAGATTGAGATAAGGACAATTCAGTGGAAACAGCAAGGAGATAAGAAAGCAAACAGTAGCAGCAACAGTACTAATAACAA